TCCAAGTTCGCAAAGCAGTGCAGAGAAGCGATAAAGGAAGACCTCAAAGAGAGAAGAGGAGCAGTCCTGGCAAATGCGGCAGAAGCAGGAAAAGCATTCGCAATGCCCGCCTGTCCTTCGCCAACTACAAGACCAAGATGACTCCCTCCGACATCCTGATGGATCTATCACATCTTCCAGAAGGGCAATGGAGAAGATTATCCATGACTTACATTAGAGATAGAAAAAAAAAAAACACCTATACGGGGGGTGTCCACACCTGTGGTGCTCAGGGTTTATCCCTAGCAAGCTTAAGACCATATGGGGTGATGGGATAAAACCTGCCAAGGCAAAAGCCTGACACGCTGTACTATCTCTCTGGTCTGAAACCTAATATTTTTCTAAACAGGAACTGGACTAAATATTTTACAGGTACCATCTCATCTAATCCTACAAGAAAAATGATGTGGTAAGTATCATCACTGTCCCTGCTGTGTCAATGAGAAACCAAAACACAGAGGTCTCAGCCAAAGATCACAGAAACCTATTGGGCAGATGGGACTTTATGTCAACTCGGGCAATGACATCTGGACCTTAGGAAGCCTGCCATCTGTAAGAGGTGCCCACACTCGTGTCTCTGCATCCTCGGTTCTTCCCCCGCCCAGTCTCAGCCTGATACCTTGGAGTGTCCTTATTTTCCTTATACTGAGCTGAAACTGCTTTAGCTTTGGTCAGGCTTCTCTCCACAGCTGAGTGTAATCAGTCGAGTTTCTCTTCAATATTAAAGCTCCTCCAAATTTTGAAAAATTAACCAAGATGTTAATTTTTCGCTCCCCACCTATAAAAGCAAAAGGTGATCATGAAGTGGGAATAAAGTTGTTATTCCCAATTTACAAATAAGCCCTGTTCCATTCCAGATACTTAATGAAAGTGCTGGAATTTAACATCGCGTTTTCACAGCCAATTCATTGCCTTAGTCTACTAACCAAAGTCAGAAGCTACAATATCTTGAAATCTATTAAAACTATGCATGGTCATGGTTTTTAAAATCTAAGCAACATAAGAAGGCTGAATTGAAATAGAAAAATCTCCCTCCTTTCCTGTCTCTGAGTTACTAAGTCAGAGGTGATCGCTGATTGTTGCTATATTTGAATCTTTACTGAAATGTCCTTTAGATTCAACATATGCCTATGATTCTTGCAAGATATCAGTTTTATATATACTAATCTGTGACTTGCCTCTTAGTCCAGATCTATCCCACGAACACAAAACCTCAATTTGAGAAGATATGTGCACACCTGTGTTCACTGCAGCCAGGAAAGGGGAATGACTCAAATGATTAATGACAGATGAAATGGATACAGATGTGATCTAGGGGCCAGAGAGGTAGTACAATGGTTAGGGTACTTGCCTACCATATGGCTGTGCCTGCGCCCTGGTTTAAGGCCCAGCAACTGCATATGCTTGGCTCCCCAGGTGTGCCCACCCCCAAAGAAGATGTAATATACATAATATACATAATATACGATCATATATCCAATGTAATACTACTCTGCTTTGAGGAAAGGCAAAGGGCTAGAAAAGTCAAAGCCCAAAGGGCTATAGCACATACTCTGAATGAGGGGCCCAGGAGCCACTCCCATAATCACATAGTTCAATCAATAAAACACTTTTTTAAAGAAAATTTTAGTGTGAAAAAAGTTCTGATTAAGGGCCGCCCCCCAGGTGCTCTGATGCCATTTCTGGCTCTCTACCCTTGAAAATCTCTCTTGGCAGTGCTTAGGGAACCATGCGGTGCCAGGGATTCGAACCCAGACCCTGCAAGCAAAGTTTCCTCTTAGTCTTGAGCACTTTAAGAGTTCTTTTTGTTTGTTTGAACAATGATTTTTGTTTTTTAAAGACTGGGCATGTAGCTCAACTGTAGAGCTCACACCTTGCAAGCATGAAACCTAGATTCTCACACACACACACACACACACACACACACACACACACACACACACACACCCTTCTCTCTTTGACACGGCTGACTTTAAAAGTTATGCATATTATTTTTGATTGATTCCTACCACAAAGCTTCCTGGGTGGAACATAAGAATATTTTTAATTTTGAGAAAGAACCATACTATCCTCCTTTAAAAGCTGTCTTAGGATGGGACCTGAGTAAGAGTGCAAATGGGAAGGGCATTTGCCTTGCACACAGTCAACCAAGGTTTGATCCCTGGCACCACACATGGTCCCTCAAGCACCACTAGGAGTGATCCCTGAGCACAGAGCCAGGAATAAGTTCTGAGCACCACGTGATGTGACCCCCAAAACCAAAGAAAAATTATGTTTTGTTAGAGGCTGGAAAGAAAGCTCACGGGCCAGAACAGATGCTTGGCATGCAGAGAGCAGGGGTTCAAGCCCCAGCTTTGCGGGGTCCACTGAGGAACGTAGAAGAACCCTGAGCACTGCAGGGGAGGGGAGAAACACTCAACCAATAGTCCATTTTCCAATTTCCCAACAAGGTTTATTTTCCATCAGACCAATCCTCCTTCAAGACCTGAAGACAATTATCCATCGGGAACCTTCCCAACAGTGTCAGGCTGTGTAAGGAGCTGGGTTTCTCGAACCCAGACATTTCCAGCCTGGTTCCCGTCACCATCAGACTCGAGAGACTTGCTAAGATGCACGTGCCCAGGCAGGCGTCCACTGCCCCCACCCTCGCCCCGTCCCGTTGCTGGCCCGTGCCCCGGGGGCTGTTCAGCTGTCCCTTCACTCTCCACGGTTCCCGGTGATCCGCTGGACAAGCAGGAGAGAGAGTCCAGTCTGAGCACAGTTCCCTCCTCTTGCTCTGAAAACCCTCGCTGGAAATGAAGCAGCTGGGCACAGGACGCAGTCGGCCCAGGAAAGTAACAGGAGACTCGTTGAAAAGACAGGAACACCAGGAGGATTACTCCATAACTTAGAGGCCAGCCGGGTATCCTAGAGGAAAGGGCAGTTCAGATAGAGAAGGGAGCACCAAATAAAGGATGTTTGGAGGATCCTCCCAGGAGGGGAGATGCATGTCGAAAGTAGACTATGGACTGAACATGTTTGCCACTCAATGCCTCTTTTGCAGACCACAACACCCAAAAGGAGAGAGAGAACACAGGGGATTGCCCTGCCACAGAGACAGGGGGGATGGGGGGATGGGGGTGGGGGGATATTATCCATGGTGGTGGAAAATGGGCACTGGTGGAGGGATGGGTATCTGATCATTGTATAATCGAAACCCAAGCACAAAAAATTGTAAATCTACAACTGTAAAAATAAATAAATAAATAAAAATAAAGGGGAAAAAAAAAACAAAAAAAAGAAAAGACAGGAACAAGCCCAAAAGTTGACATAGCTGGTGTCGGACCCACCCAAAACGCAGCCAGGAACCAGGCCACCGCTCCCAATTCACGACGGCTTTATTCACCCAGCTGGGCAATGAGAGTGAGAGTGGTCGATCTCTTCACGGAGAAGAGTCACGATAACCTGGTGCTACATTAATCCTAAAGAATGCAGGGACCAACCGAGAGCAGATTCAGAGCTCCCGGGCTGTGTACCAATGGGCATGCGCAGAAGGCCCCGCGCGCCCCCTAGCGGTCCACGGGCCTCGGTGCAATTGAGAAGTGCCACTTCCGCGGCGCCCTAGGAAAGCCCCGCCTTAGCCCCGCCTCCCCATCCAGAACGGGCGCTGATTGGCGGACGGCGGGTTACAATTCCATGCGCGTGCGTATTAAGAGTCCTAAGATTTCCGTAGCTCGAGCGCCAGGACCGCGGCTAAAGGGGGCTTCCTTTGCACGGGTGCGACTTCGGTTCGATGCCCGGGGCCCCGCACGTTTCCCTGAGCATCGCCAGGAGTAAGCCCTGAGCACCGGCGGGTGCGATCCACCCTCTCCGAAAAAGGGGGGCAAAAATTCTAGTTCCTTAGCTCTTCGGTTGTCGTTTTGTGGCTGTTTTGCCACCTGCTGAGAATTCCATCAGCCCTCCCTCCCACCCAGGGCAGCGCCAAGGAGCAACGCAAGGTGGCAGAGCTGAGGGGCAAACGGTTGAAACATCTCCCGCGTGAGGGTCCTGGGTTGGATTCGGAGCACTACATGGTAGGTTGAGCCAAAACTCAACCTAGCTTCTAGGCCCCATCCTCAACTGGGTATGGGCACCACCTCCCAGCCTTAGGGGCCCCCAACTTGCACCTGGCAATCCCAAAGGTGCTGTCAGAGGCTGGAGCAATAGCACAGCGGGTAGGGCGTCTGCTTTGCACGCAGCCAACGTGGCCGACCCGAGTTCGATTCCTCCGCCCCTCTCGGTGAGCCCGGCAAGCTACCGAGAGTATTCGATATGCCAGACACAGTAACAACAAAGTCTCCAATGGAGACGTTACTGGGCCCGCTCGAGCAAATTGACGAACAACAGGAGGGCCTATATGGTCCCCCGAGCACCGCAAGGAGTGATTACTGAGTGTATGAACTCGGAGAAACTCCTGTGCATTGCTGAGTGACCAAAAAAAAAAAACACCCCAAAAAACCGCAAAACCCCCAAGAGTGCTCCCAAAGACAGGGAACTGGGAATACACCCTGTGCCTGGGGTATGCAGGGGTCAGCATCAAAGTCCTGGTGGGCAAGATAAAAGGCAAACACTTGGCCCCGGAAAATGTGTATCAGACAGTCACCCATGAACCTATCCCGGGGAATACAGGGATAAAGATTTAAGACAATTGGAACTACTTAAGTTCAGTGATCAATTAGAAATGTGAAAGCAAAGCTCCCAGCAGAGTGTGAAGTGCAAGGAAGAGAACTCAAGGCTTAGACCTGGTGCATGCACTGGGGCAATTGAGCTCTCTTATCCCCATAGACTCCAATTTATCGTTCTGACATAGAACTCAATCCATAGGATTGCCTCCAGAGTAAGGCCTATAAATCCACAGGGCTCCGGGCCTCAACTCCAGTCCACTGGAAGGCAGCTTCACAAAGCATGCCCTCCTCAGCTCACAGGCAAGACCGAAAGCAGCAAACAGTTCAGCTTTTTATTTAACATATTACAAAAGGTCTAGTCAAAGAGACCAAAACCCATGTCATCGTCAGATTCCTCAGATTCCTCCTTCTTTGCTTCCACTTTCTTCTCCTCGGCTTTAAGAAAAAAAAAAGAGTAAGTTAGTCACACCCCTCTCAATAGTCTCAACTCGAGTCTTGGGGCCCCTTCGTTTGTACCGTCAAAAATAACGTTTCTTTCTGAGCAGCCTCATCTAGTCTCTTGCTATGGGCCTCTGCCTCCACACTTCCCTCCCCCAATTAGCGTCTCTCTATTGCTAACAAACTAGGAAACCTGTAGGACACCTCCCACCACACAAATGTCCTTCCTACCTGGTGCAGCAGCGGCGGAGGGGGCAGAGCCACCTGCAGGGGCAGCACCTGCTGCTGGGGCAGGCCCACCAGCCCCGACGTTGCAGATCAGACTTCCAATGTTGACATTGGCCAGGGCCTGCAACACACAGGTACACAGGTATGGCTGTATTCCATCTGTTATACCCTCCGTTTCACTAGAGTTAACCAAAGGCTCTACCTGGCTGGTTAAGAAAACGCAACAAACCTTGTACCCCCTAAAAGATATAAACACATGTTCACTCTTCTAAACCAATGTTACCGGGGCTAGAGCAGGTAGGGCGTTTGCCTTGCACATGGCTGACCCGGGTTCGATTCCCAGCATCCCGTATGGTCCCCCGAGCACCACCAGGAGTGATTCCTGAGTGTAAAGCCAGGAGTAACCCCTGAGCATCGGCGGGTGTGACCCAAAAAGAAAAAATAAACCAATGTTACCTCCAAGTTTTTAAATAGTCAGGTCTAAGTTTAGAAAACTCTCAGTTACACTGTGATGGCAGTTGTAAGTGACTTAATTGGCACACAATCCAAAGGGCTTGGCAAGTATTAAGTCACTTCTCAGCACACATGGCAGATCCACCTGCCAATTCCAGTGGCCTTCCACAGCCAGGGCACACCAGGAGTGTCTTCCAGACAATGTTCCAATCTTCTGCCCAGAAACTATGGGTGCCGAGACTGTCTGTGGAGTTGTGTTACACATTCTTTGAGCACCTGGGTTATATAAAGAGCAGGGATTCTAATCCTTCCCACCTGCAGTCCCTTCTCCCAACAAGTTTTGACATGATCCCGGGCGCCCAAAACTTGAATACAAACCAAACTGTTTACTGACAATGTAATGTTTACTCTCCCAAAAGAAATGAAGGCAGGTGGGTAAGAATAAAAAAACCCCTGACCACTGGATTTAGTTAGGACCAGATACAAGTTAACAATGACCCCAGATGCATTCACCCCTGGGGTTTGTGTAGCCTGAGTGCCAACCCTGACCCTCACAAGCAGTCCATTTTCTACCGCTGAGCTATATCCCTTGAAGGGGTTTTGGGGAAAGATTTCAAAGGACTAGAAAGTATTTTACGCTATTGCATTAATTTTATGAAAAGCCCGGATGGATTTAACACGTTGTACCGTCTTAAGCTCAACGGTTATTTTCTGAGTGTCTAGAAAAACGCCTATAAATGAATATTGGGGAAGCCGGAGCAACTATTTTGGAAAATACTGGAATGCTTTCTTTTAAAAAGTTGAGACTGAGCTGCTGCTACCTGACCCAATAATTCCATTTTTACGGTCATTAAAAAAAAAACTGTATGCAGCTCAACGTTTTGTTATTATTTACTAGACCCAAAACAACCCAAGCATCTGGAAGTCTTATCAAAGAAGCAATATACTTAAGCAATAAACCGCTGCATTGTAAAAAACTTTAAAAAAAAATGAATTAAAGTGGTCTAAGTCAGAGATCAAGCACTGCTAATTTTACCCATGGCAACTGGAGGGCAGAGAAACCGGACTGGACACTCAGTGGAAGGATGGGAGGAGGAAAATCACGCTGGAGACGGCGCCGGCGCCCGGCCACTCGCCCCGGGCCGGACAGACTGGCCCGCGGGAAGCCAACCCCGCGCCGCGCCCAGGTCCCGGGCAGGGTCCCGCGCTTACCTTGGCGAACAGGCCGGGCCAGAAGGGCTCCACGTTGACGCCGGCCGCCTTGATGAGGGCGTTGATCTTGTCCTCCTGCCGGAAAGACACGCGGCGGCGTCAGGTCCGCGCCGCCCGGCCGCCCGATCGCCCCGCACGTGGCCGTAGCCCGCCCCCCCCCGACCCGCTCGGCACTCACCGTCACGGTGACCTCATCGTCGTGCAGGATGAGCGCCGAGTAGATGCAGGCGAGCTCTGAGACCGAGGCCATGGCGCGGTGCTAGTCGCCGGATGAAGTGAGGGTCACCCCAACGCGGCCTTAGCTTCCTCGGAAGGACCGAGCACCTTGGCGGCAGCTGCGGAAGAGGGCCCGCGCGCCTGCGCCCGGCCTCTTAAACGGCTCGCGCCGGCCAATCGGCGCCCGTGCGGGCGGAAGAGGCGGGGCGAGAGCGGCCCAGCCGGCCAATCGGTGATCGCGCTGGCGGAAGAGGCGGGGAGACGACGGCCCGTCCGGAAGCGGAAGCGCCGGCGTACGTTTCCCCCCCCCCCCCACCGCGGCGGAAGTGGTCGCGGGCTCCGGAAGTTGCCAAGTCCGCCGCGGGTTTAACGCTAACCAACCGGGAGGGGACTGGCCTGGTCCTCGCGCGTCGCCCGGCTACTTACACTGCGGCGCTATTTAGCAGTCACCTAGGGGCGTGCCTCGACCACCCAGCGGGCCGGAAGCCAGGCTCGGCATTAGCTCGGAGAGCTCGTATCTAGCGCGGCCACTCGGGCGCGAACAGTGAGGCCGCCGGGGAAACCGGGAGCGTGCGGTGTTGCCATGGAGACGGCGAGCGTGAGCGCCCCCACGTGGGGCAACGGCTGCGGGGATTTACTTAACGCTCAGCAAAACTGCACGCGGCGAGCGACGGTGGTGGGTTAGCCCCGGTAGTAAGCCCGAGTTACCGCCTGGTGGCGCTGGTGTTTAACCCCGGTTCAGCGCCTGCGGAGAGGGGCGAGTATCATACATATCTTGATTTTGCCATTTGGACTTCTTTACAACTTTGTGTATTGGTTACGTGATATGAAACAGTTTTACTTCCGACCGCTAGAAGGAGAGAAATCTTTGAAATCCGTGCATCACTTCCCTTTTGCAATTTGTCTTTTCCAGAAAGGAAAGGAGTTCCATTTCCCATCTACCCTACAAACTTCTGGCTGTTATTCAGTGCAGTCCATTTTATCATAATTCTTTCAATTAAAGCTTCTATTGAATGTCCTCTATTTTTTTTTTTTTAGTGAAACACCATGAGGTACAGTTGTAGGCTTACATATTTTTGTGTTTGGGTTTCAGTTATACACTGATCAAGTACCCGTCTCTCCACCACCACCAATGAACCCAGTAGCCCTCGCACCCCCCCCCCCCATGCCCCCACCCCGCCCCATCTCTATGGCAGGGCATTCCCTTTTGCTCTCTTTCCTTTAGGGTATTATGGTTTGCAATAGAGGTATTGAGTGACCATCGTGTTCGGTCTATAGTCTTTTTTTCAGGGCGCGGCTCGCACCCCAAGGAGTCCTCCAAACACCCTTTACTTGGTGTAGTTCCCTTCTCTAGCTGAGCTGCCTTTTCCCCCAGCATGTGCTGCCAGCTTCCAAGCCATGGGGCAGAACTCCTGGTCCTTATCTCAACTATTCTTGGGTATTTGTCTCCCATTCTGTTACTTTATATTCCCCAGATGAGTGCAGTCTTTCTATGTCTGTCCCTCTCTTTCCGACTCATTTCACTTAGCATGGTATTTTTCCATGTAGAACCACACTTGTTTGCAAATTTCATGTGAAAGTCCTCTATTTAGATTTCTACTTAAAGCAGGTAGGACCGATGGCGTGGGCTGGAGCGATGGCACAGCGGGTAGGGCGGTTGCCTTGCACATGGCCAACCCGGGTTCGATTCCTCCATCCCTCTCAGAGAGTCCAGCAAGCTACCGAGAGTATCCTGCCTGAACGGTAGAGCCTGACAAGCTACCGTGACGTATTGGATATGCCAAACACAGTAACAAGTCTCACAATGGAGACGTTACTGGTGCCCGCTCTAGCAAATCAATGAACAATGGGAGGATTGTGCTACTTAGAGCAGGTGTAAGCGTATCTTAATATCCCAACCTTAAATTTTTCTTTTCCCTTGGAAAACATAAAAGGTTACATAGGTGGTGAAGTAAGGGAGCCTGGGAGAAAAGGTCTTAACGAATGTGATGGAGAGGAAGTGGCACAGTGATGAGCATATTATGATAACACTGAACCCCTAAAACATAAATGTTTACACTCAAAACTACATCACCTCAAATAAGTTTTAAAGAACAGACTAACAGGCTTTCTGAACATAAAACGACTGTTTTGAGTTTTCATCCAAATTTAGGAATGGAGTGGGTGGGAAACAGTAATTGGAAGACTTACATCTTAAATTGTATATTTAACAACAACAAAAAGGTAAATGAGCTACATAGATATGCAGTAAAATGAAATTTTGTCCCATCTTAAACTTTACTTAGAAACTTCGTTTTAAGTAAAACTTCACAATATTTTGTTCCCCAAGTTGTTTTATAACTACAAACCAATCTGAATTTTAGAATACAGAAAAAGGAAAATTACCTCCATGCATACATAGTTGTCTCCAAGTAATAGGATTTCAGTCAAAATGTTATTAGAACTTCCAGTGGAATTTGACCTGGTAACTTTCAACTTCAATGGAAGAATTAATAACCAAGATATTATGAGAGGATTTGCTGTAAAATGTAAATTCTTCTGAGATTTTGGTCTGCATGATTTCCTGTGTCTCAAACAGTGGCTGGCACAAAAGAGGCATTCGAATATATGCATGCTGAATTAATTCAGTGAGTTAGTGACACATGAACTAATTAACATACAGAGCGCCCAGAAATACACTCTCACACCATGGGGACTTGGTATGGTCCGAGCATGATCTGTTAAATGGTGGTGGTGAAATGTGGAATTGAAAGGGAGAGAACGCGCTGGTGAGAGGTAGCTAGCAGGCTGTGCATCTGCTTTGCATGCTAGAGGCCCTCGGGTATGACCCCAAAACAAAAAAGTACGAGAACAATAAATTTTCTATTCAGTTGAGAGTGTGTTTATTTTCTTTAAAGAAGTTTTTTTGTTGTTTTTTGTTTTTGAAATAGCCACTGAGTATTTATTTCCAGAAATAGTAGTGAAAACTTAAGAAGGATTATTTATAACTTCTGCAGAACAGATGGAAGTGGAGTCAGAGACATACCATTTTGTGATTGTGATATGATCCCATATTATCTAAAGCTCTTTTGACAGAACGAATATGGATTACTCTGAAAAGAGGTCCTGACTAAAGCTATATCATGAAACATAGTTTGTGTAAAACATTTCCATCAACAATGGAAACATTAGCACTTTATGTTATAATAGCGTTTATAATTATAGCATTATGATCACTAACATTCCTACATTAATTATACTAGAAATCTTCAGAAAATGCTTATATATTTGAAAATGCAGAATTATGAAAAATGGAAGAAACATTCAGATTATGCTCATATATCTGAACCATAAATAATTGACAGGATGCATTTCTGCCAAAAGCCTTTGGGTTCCGAGATTCATTTGAGTCTCTAGGATTATGGCCGTTAAGCAGTCTGATCAGGAACCAGAGAGGCCATGCCTCCAATTATATAGCTGAGCCAGAGGTGGTTTGTGGGTGTGTGTCCCACATACCTAACTTTTGGCCGTTTACTTTCTTGGTAAACTTTGCCCCAAGTTTGGGGCCTGGCCAAAGGCACAGCAGCAATTTTGGGGTATCTGAAAGCCTGACAGTGCCATCAGGCTGCTGATGCACTCACCTCACAGGTACAAATTGACCTGCTGGCGGCACCAAACCCCCCAAAGAAGTTTTTAAAATACAATTTTTATATAAATTTATTGAATCACCGTGAGAACAGATACAAAGCTTTTGGGTTTATGTCTGTCATACAATGATGAAACACCCGTCCCTTTTCCACCCCCCAAAACCCCCCATCCCATCCTCTCCCCCTACCTGTGTGGCAGATGACTTCCACATTACTCTCTCTCTACTTTGGTTACATTCAGTAGTTGAAATACAACTTTTAAAGGTTAACATGAACATAGAAAACAACAAAAAACAAGCAAGTAGCAGTCACAATTAAAAGCTGACATGTCCTTATAGCTCCTGTTTTTTTGTGGGTTTTTCGGGACAAACCCAGTAGAACTTAAGGCTTTCTCTGATCTGCTCTCAGGGATCGCTCTTAGCAGGGTTTAGGGAACCATATGCAATGTCAGGGATCAAACCCACATCTGTGTAACTTGGTTACATCGGTCACGGTCCTCCCGTTGCTCATCAATTTGCTCGAGCGGGCCCAGTAACATTGTGAGACTTGTTACTGTGTTTGGCATATCGAATACATCATGGGTAGCTTGCCAGGCTTTGCCGCGCGAGCAAGATACTCTCAGTAGCTTGCAGGGCTCTCCGAGAGGGGCGGAGGAATTGAACTCGGGTAGGCCATGTTGGCCGCATGCAAGGCAAACGCCCTACCCGCTGTGCTATCACTCCAGCCCAACTTGAGTATATATAATCTTTAATAACATAATGGATGCTTAGTTTTGTAGGTATATAAACAGGACATAGGGGCAGATATTACAGAAAGTAAGGTGTTTGCCTTGCACATCACAGACTTGGGTTTGGCCTATGTGTTCCCCCAAATCCTGCCAGGAGTAACTCCTGAATGCAGTGGCAGGAGTGAGCCCTGAGCACAGCCAGGTGTGGTTCCCCAAAATAAAAACCAAGCAAACAAAGACTGCATGGTTTTGCCTCATGCTTCTTTATACATCACAAATAGTTATACTGAGTGGGGTCATTTTTCAGTTTCTCCCTCACATAATAATGTGAAAACACTCCTGTAAAATTTTAGAAGGGTAAGTTTACTGTGGGGTCAGTGTATGTAATTTTTTGTTTTATGGCACATCAAATGGGCTGGAGCAATAGCAAAGCGGTAGGGCGTTGGCCTTACAAGCGGCCAACATGGCCGACCCGGGTTTGATTTCTCTGCCCCTCTCGGAGCTGGAGCGATAGCACAGCGGTAGGGCGTTTGCCTTGCACGCAGCCAGCCTGGCCGAGCCAGGTTCGATTCCTCCGCTCCTCTCGGAGAGCCCGGCAAGCTACCGAGAGCATCTCGCCCGCACGGCAGAGCCTGGCAAGCTCCCCGTGACGTATTCGATATGCCAGACACAGTAACAACAAAGTCTCCAATGGAGACGTTACTGGGCCCGCTCGAGCAAATCGATGAACAACGGGAGGACCGTGACCGTGACCGTGATGGCACATCAAATACAAGGAAAGCCTCACACATATGAAGTGAATGCTCTACCACTCAAACACATCCCTAGCACTGAAAAAACCCCTTATATTCATTTCTTATTTTAAATTTTATGAATGTTTACTCACATCTCCCCTACCCCCATCCCCTTGTGGTGAAGACTGGGGGTCACGCAAAGGTGGTGGTGCTTGTACACTCAGAGTCTGCACTCCTCGACCTGTGTTTGTGCACATGCTTGCCGGCCTGGCCCTTGGTTGAGGCACACGGGTTGCAGCCATGGTGCTCACACACGCTCCCCACAGGTGGCACTTCTGGCCTTGGCATTGTTTTCCCCGTTGCAGTGTTTGTCCAGACTCACACACTTTTTCTGTGTCTGGAGGGAACTCATTTGTGGTGCCAAGGAACAGACAGCAGAGCTGTCAGCCTCGAAAGGCACAGTTTCCTCAACTGTTCTTAGCACCTTTCAGCTGATGAACGCCAGGGAACTGAACTCAGGATCATGCACTTGAAAGAAAGGCACGTGCTCTCAGCACTGAGCTGTTCCTGCAGGTCCACCACCTATATTTACTTCTAGTTTTGTGGTTTCTCGTCTTACGTTCATCTTGTTTCTAGTACTTGTAGGGTAAGATGGTTATCCAAGTTTGTTCTTTCCCGTTGTTCCCATTGCCATTTATTAAAAAGATTGTCCCCCCCACCCCCCAAAAAAAAAGATTGTCCCTCAGGGGCTGGAGCGATAGTACAGCGGGTAGGGCATTTGCCTTGCACGCGGCTGACCCGGGTTCGGATTTCCAGCATCCCATATGGTCCCCCGAGCACCACCAGGGAGTAATTTCTGAGTGCATGAGCCAGGCCAGGAGTAACCCCGGTGCATCGCCAGTGTGACCCAAAAAGCAAAAAAAAAAAAAAATAAAGATTGTCTCTCAGCAAGGATATGTTTTTGGCTAGCTTTACACACAGTCTTATGGGCTTTCCTATATTTTTCCATCAATGCTTTTTATTGCTATTTTGTTATAGCTGTCTAAAATAGCTTGAAATCCACCTTGGGACTTTTGTGGCTCCATATAAATTTCAAGGTTAAAATTCCAGAAAACTCACATTGTTGAGTTTTGATGAGTATTCCATTAAATCTTTAAATCGCTTTCAGTAGCATCGACATTTTTACAATATTCAGTCTTCCAGTCCATGAGAACAATATCTTCATTTATTTTCTTCAGTTTTATCACTACATTTTTAGTGTATCTTTTACCTCCTAGGTGAAATGAATGTATTCTAGGTATTTTATTCCTTTTGATAAATAGGATCATGTTCACTTCTCTTTCGTACAGCTTGTTATTAGTAACTAGAAATGCAGCTGATCTTTTTTTTCTTTTTGGGTCACACCTGGCAATGAACAGGGGTTACTCCTGGCGGTGCTCAGGGGACCATATAGGATGCTGGGAATCGAACCCGGGTCAGTCAAGTGCAAGGCAAACGCCCTACCCACTGTGCTATCATTCCAGCCCCCCAGAATGCAGCTGACTTTTATATAGATTTTGCATCCTTCTACCTGATTGAATTCACATATTGATCTTAGAGCATTCTGTCGGATTATGGTTCTGTTTTGTATTGTTTACAAAGAATGAGTTTTCCTTTTCAATTTGGAGACCCTTCTTGGGGAGATGGCAGCTCTCCAGGGATACTGGGGGCCATGAGGGCCACACTAGGGTTGCTAGGAAGGCCGTAAGGGGACAGGGACCACCCCAGGCCCCGTGCAGGTCAGCAAGCGCTCCAGCCATTCAGCTATTTTGTGCATTTCTTTTTTGTTCGAGGGCCATACCTGGCAAAGTTCAGGGGTTACTCCTGGTTATGAACTCAGAATTCACTCGATAGGTTCAGAGGACCATATTGGATGCCAGGGATCAAACCCAAGTCAGCTGTGTGCCAGGGAAGCACCCTACTGTTGTACTATCTCTTTGGCTGGACCACACCCAGAAGTGCTGAAGGGTTCTCCTGGCTCTGCAATCATGAATTACTCCTGGCGGTGCTTGGGGGGGAATCATATGGAATGCCAGAAATCAAACCTGGGTCAGACATGTGCAAAGCAAGCTCCCTACCCACTGTACTATCACTCCAGCCCCCCAACTACTTTACTAGGACATCCAATACACACACAAAAGACATGAAACATGAATTCCAATTGTATGCTGAATAAATGTGACTGGAGATTTTGTCAGTGTGATGCCAGCTTGACAATATGGTTTTTATTATTTTGAGGTGTATTTCCTCTTACCCACTTGGAGACATTTTGTTAACCATACATGGGTGTTGAGTTCTGTCAGTTGCCTTCTTTGAGGAGACTCAGTGTGGCGCTCAGGCTGCTGGTGCGATGCCGCTTCCTGAGTCCAGTGTGACCCAACAGTGCTGCAGAAGGACCGTGACCCTGGCTCGTGCTGCTGGGATCTGCCCCCCCCCCCCCCGCCACCATCCTCGTGCTTTCTTCTCATTCTCCCACAAATGGATGCCAGCTAAAGGCAGGAACCTGGGTCTGGGCGTGGATGTTAATGACTGTCACACAACTTTGTATTTCTTAGTGCTTTTTATTCCAATTTTTTGGTATACCTAAATGCCAGAAAGTGAATATATACATACAAAAATTAAAAACAACTTCTAACATGGTATTGTTATTGGTCAGTGACATCTGTGCTTCAACTGTCAAATGTGTCTAACGTGCATGCTAGCAGCTAATGAGTAGCAGCATTTGTTTACAAAACCTTAGGAAATACTCAGAACCGGGAGCAGAAATCCTCTTCCCATCTCCCCCAGTCTCTGGCGACCCAGGGGTCACACCCATAAGTCACCTCCTCTGGTGCCACCATCCAGATCACACGACTTGTTCTCCTGGAAGGGAGCAACATGATGCCCGCCATAGCCATGCCACCAGGCCCCGCCTGCGCCAGGCTATTTCACTCGGGGTGCCCAGAGGGGGGCGGGTGAGAGCCCTCCACGCCCCAAGGGGTCCAGCCCCTCTGGAAACCAACAGCCGCCACGCTCTGGGCCGCTCCCCACCAGCTCGGGCCTCACCTCACGCATGAGTGAACATATTCTTGGACAGAAGACACTCCCAACGTTCTCCATAAGTACCACACCACATTTGATGGGGTTCAATAGTAGGCAAAAACTCATAGAGGGGATTATAATATATATATGCATATATAAATATCTTCAGACATATATACAAAAGCTCACATCACTCAACCTTTAACAACATGTCAGTGAAGAATGTCTTAATAGCCCCTGTCAAAATAGAACAATCTTCACACTGTTTCCTCTATGGATACTTTTTGGTAGCATTTTCAGCATTTTTTTCATAACAGACAGTACAAAATATATTATTTAGGTTGTGCTTTGAGATGGATTGGGGCTTGGATGGAAACATCCCAAATTTGGTGGTGGGAAGGTGTAATGGTGGTGGGATTGGTGTTTGAATATTAAATGTAATCAAATATTGTGAACTACCTTATAAAACAATTTAAAAAAAAACACTCAGAGCAAGAAAAGTCACAACAAAATGAAGCGTGATCTAGATATATTCTTCCTTAATCACAGAAGACAAACTTGCATGAATTAGTTTATAGAGTATACAATAAATATACAAAAAAAGTATTATAAAAAATAGTTCATATAGCAATAGCCAAAGAGGGTCATTCTCCACTATTAATATTAAATACGGCAGGGCATGTCATAAAGTCTTTCAAATCATAGCTGTCTCTGGAACAAAAGGGGATCTTTGATCTAGGCCAGTGTACGATATACTGAGGTCCGTGATATGCAACAAAGCCAGTCCAGCATGGCTCCAGAGATACCGCCAACGCAGACGGAAACGTCTCACAATTGAAATGGTCAGTTCATGGCTTCTTGCGCCTAAAACAGGAAAACCAGCACTTGGTATGGAGTTTTGTAATTTATACATTTATAGCAATCTTGTCTGTCAGATGCCTTTAAGAGAACTCCTGTTTTATTCAAGGGGGAAAATTAAGTCCTTGGGAATAGTCTGAAAAATAACTGTTACAAAGTAAGTTCTCCCAGTATTAATGTTTTTGTTGTGGTTGTTCTTGGGCCACGTCTATGATCAAAGGGGTCGCTCCTTGAGATGCTTAGAAACCATAAGGTGCTAGTGATCGAACAGGGACTCACACATGCAAACATCATTCACTCTACCCTTGGAACCTTCCCCTGGCCCTAGAAGTCGTTTTTTTTGTTTGTTTGTTTGTTTCAGATTTAAAACCAGGGCCTGGAGCAACAGTACGGTGGGGAGGCATTTGGGGAGGGCATTTGTCTTGCATGCCACCAACCAGGTTTGATCCTTAGCACCCCGTCGGATTCTCGAGCCCGCCAGGAGAGATCCCTGAGTGCAAAGGCAGGAGTATGACCTGAGGAACCTCAGCCATGTTCCCCAAACCGAAACAATAAAAATAGGACTTCCCACCTTTATTCTTTGCAATGGTGTTTCCCAATTGCCTGAGAAATACATATATTTAAAAATGGATTTGTGGGGCCAAAGTGATAGTATAGTGGGTAGGGTGTTTGCCTTGCATGCGGCCGACTGGGTTCGATCCCCGGTGTCCCGTATGGTCCCCTGAGCACCGCCAGGAGTAATTCCTGAGCGCAAAGCCAGGAGTAACCCCTGAGCATCACTGGTTGTAACCCAAAAAGAAAAAAAAGAGTTTCTATTAATAGGATTGGTGGGAAATAAGGCAGACTCGGGTAAATCTCGATAGATGCAGGGGAAGTGGTTCTTTTCCTTACTCTCTTATTTTGGTAAACACATACTGCTGTAGCAGGCCCGAGAGCCAGGACACAGAGGAATGGATTACAGAGTTGCCAGCACCGACTAAATCAGAGTCTCCGTTCAGCCTCTGAAAGCTCTGTGAGCATGGCAGAGTAAGAGTGCGTGTCTTCTATCTCAAGCCTCCTAACCGCTCTTCTGCAGCTCCTCAGGCTCTCAGCCTGCTGCCTACTAGAGTCTGTAAGCAGGCCCTGACACACTACCGCTCATTTCCTCTGAGAAGAAAGGTGGATGGCACGGCCAGAAGTGGCAGCATGAATGAGCTTTAGACGTATGAGGCCCCCGGCACAAAAAGGAAAAGTTTAGAAAGTGGCTGGTGGGTGAAGGAGTGTGGTGGTGGAAAGACAGAAAGGCCCGGCCTGTAAGTACTCACTTGGGTTGTGCATGGTGCTGATACCCAGGTCCCAGCTGAGAGCCTGCTCGCATCTCCACAGCCACAGAACACTATGGGGAAAACCACAGGTCAGTGCCCCGCCCGTTCACAAGCACCGTCTGATCAGGAAAGCTCAGCAAGGGAGAAACCCAGCACAACGTTCTCGCTCAGCAAAGACACCTGTGTTTAATTAGCAGCCAGATAGTATTTTTCCACACAGTTCACAGAAGTTGACAGCAGGGAGCTTCTTTAGAGAGCCACGGTAAGAGTTGTTCTTGAGAAAGTGAGTGGCCAAGGCCAGCAGTCGGCCTCTGGGCCTCCATCCTTCTGCAGATGAGACTCCTCAGGAGTAATAGTTCCATCAAAGTTCCTATCAATTCTTATCAAGCCCTGTGAGTTTTTCGAGGGTAACACACCCACTTGACTCTTGGGCCAGCCCTCTACACTCAAACTCAGGGCTTTGAACTGAAAGGAAGTCAAGACCTAAGAATGAAAAGGCTTTGCGGATTAGGCAGGAGAACACTACATTTTACAACACTTTATGTAGGATAGCATTGGTTTTTCCTTTCTCCCTAGCCACAGGGAGCTGAGGTTTATCCAGTTACACCCATCACAGTGCTCTGGAGACACTCCCATTCCTTTGTTTATCTGTAACCTCTTCTCTGTGCTCTCCTCCCCCAACCAGTTAATCACCCTTTCCCCCTAATCAGATTCTGTTAATTTGTAAGGTCAGATCCTTCTAAGGAACTGAACTTGTAAGTTAAACATTGCTTTTCTCCTTCTCTTATGTCTTTTGCATAGTTTAAAGCAATGTCCTTTTTGTATGGACACAGGAAGAGAGTTAATATTATGCTTTTGTAACTTGGGAGTTAATTGACTCCGAATAATATTCACTCGGGGGCATCTGCTTTTTTCAGCTTAAGCATCAGTTGCCCTTAGACCCCAAACGCAGGTCCCGACAAGGGACTGAATGGACCCAGGGTTAGCTGTGTATAACCCTGGCATCAAAATAGGCCAGGCCAATCACCATAATACTTAACTATAAGTTAAGAGCACATTCACGCACAAACTCTGTTATGACCCAAAAGAGGTAACTGGATAAGGACCCTGTTGGGGTAAGGGAAGACTGAACTGGCCTGAGGACTGCGGTCTGGAATATACAGTGAGATGTCCTCAGGAAGAACCAAACTTTAAGCTTGATATATTTCTTCCTGTGCTCATACAAAATGACATTGCTAGAAATATTAGAAGTAAATTTACCACAACAATTTAAGGAATGATAGCACAGTGGATAGGGCGTTTGACTTGCATGCAGCCGACCCGGGTTTGATCCCTCCATCCCTCTCGGAGAACCTGGCAAGCTACCAAGAGTATCCCGCCAGCACGGCAGAGCCTGACAAGCTCCCCGTGGCATATTCGATATGCCAAAAACAGTAACTACAAGTCTCACAATGGAGATGTTACTGGTGCCCGCTCCAGCAAATCAATGAACAACAGGACAGTGCTACAGAGCTACTAGCTGAGGAAAGAAGACAGCAACACATCCTGGATATAATCCCACCCTTGAGGTATCTCCTAGTAATCTGGAGTAATCTTAGATGAGAGTTTGTCCTTGAGTTAATCTCCTGGAGGAGTGGCCTTCCCTCTCTTTGGTGATTTGTTAATGTTCAACCCCACCTTTGTATCCCCACCCTACATGATTCCTATGTAAACTAGGCTGTAAGAGTGGGCTGGGGGGATCCAGAGAGAGAGAGAGAGAGAGAGAAGCAGGAGTATTAGAGGAGAATGGAGAGGAGACTGGAATAAACTGCAACTGACACCAACCAGCCTGGCCCTGTTCCCTCCTTCATCCTCCCTTTGCCACTGGCCACCCCGGGGTGGCAGAAGCAGCTCGAGACCACCGAACACAGGTGACGGAGAGAGCCACCGCATGGGCCCCCTTTGTAGTTTATTTTTTGAATACACAACTTTACACTCTTTTCAAATGAACACTCGTAATGTGAGGTGAGCCCTCGGCAGCTTAAGGAGCCTGGGGAACTATGCTGGGTGCTTACACGGTGGCACCCTGCAATCTTAGCAAGCAGACAGGTGTTTAATTTTCATCCCTACCCTTGTTTCTACATCGGTCCATTCAGACTCAGTACCCTCTGGCTGGGCAGGCACTACTGCGGAAGATCTTCGTTTCCGACTAGAAAAATGGGGAAAAACAACACAACAGTTACTTTTGAATCTAAGAACAGGAAAATTATTAGAAACTAAAAAATACCCCCCACACTCCATTGGAGAGTCAGTGATGTATTTTATAGGCTATTTTGCCCCTCAAAAATGAGAAGCTAAGGAAGAGAGATTTGATTACTTACCCAGTTGGTGATTCTTGTTTTAATGTCTCAATATCCGTAAACTGAACAGACTGTCCGCCACCCCTTGTTTTATAAACATCACCCTAAAGCCAAGAGAAAAGCCACCATACCGTTATCCTTGAATACATCCAAATAATAAATACAAATATATTCCAACTTGAACTTAAGGCTCAAATTTTTTATAGAAACTCCCATCCGCAAAACCAGATGGTGCTAGGAAAAGACACTTAAGAAATTTGAATACATATCTCAAAAAAAAAAAAATCAAAAGAAATATATTCTATAATATTCATTACTGCGAGGGTGCGAGGGGAAAACCTTTTGTGTAACTCATAACGTAAGAACTTTAACAATGCTAAGGATCAAAGATCTGCTAGAAATCTTGAAATGCTGTAAGACATTTTCATACCACCCTCCCTATATTAATACTGTTTTAACTGTAATTATAATAAGATCCATCCTCTAAATTAAATTTAAAGAGATAAATTTTTGTTCCACTTCCAGTTTTTTCTTTTACATTCATGATTATTCATTATCTATGATCACTGGAAAATTTTTGTACAGGCAAGAAGGAAAAGGACTTTGGGTAGTTCAATAATTAGTAGTTTTTTTTTTGTTTTTCCAGCTGTTTGGGTCACACCCAGCGATGCTCAGGGGCTATTCCTGGCTCTGCGCTCAGGAATTTACTCCTGCCAGTGCTGGGGGACCATATGGGATGCTGGGGATCGAACCCAGGTCAGCTGTGTGCAAGGCAAACGCCCTACCCACTGTACTATTACTCTGGCCCGATACTACGTAAATTCTGATAGATCAGGTTTTTATTTTTTGCTTTTTGGGTCACACCCAGCCAATGCTCAGGGGTTCCTCCTGGCTCTGCACTCAGGAATCACTCCTGGTACTTGGGGGACTATATGGGATGCTGGGAATCGAATCCGGGTTGGCCGCGTGCAAGGCAAACGCCCTACCCGCTGTGCTATTGCTCCAGCCCCTTTTGTTTCTTTTTTAAAAATCCTGAACTGACAGTAGGGCGTAAAACAAAATCTATATTTCAAATAGGCACTAGATCTGGAGTTCTGCTGATTAACCTGCCAATTGAAGCTTCTTTCCGCAGAAAGTGGATTTAGTTCCCATTTGGATTTATAAGCAGCAACTGGATTTTTCCAAGCAACGCTAGGGCAAACAGAATTCTCCTCTATGTCGACAGTGCTGTGTGTCACGCAAGGAGGAGAAACATGACTTTCCGTACATGTGCTTCTCCTGGGCATGCTTGCTTTTACCTTTATCAGTTTAGTCTCAATCTCCCCATCGGAGGCTAGTTCCTGGTGGGTCAGCATGTACTTCTCACACTTAGCTAGTGCCTTTTCGTTTGCAACAGAGACTGTGATGGCGTGAGGGACATGTGGCTGCATGACTGTCTCAGTTTGCACGTTAGAGGCAGGCTTATGATCTACCCATCTGTCTCCCGCAGAGCGTGATCGTCTGTGTCGGTGACGGATTGGTGGTGCAGTCTGATCAGGTTGAAAGAGGAAATCAAGAAACAAGCATAACCCAGAATTAATTTACGGGTATTATTAGAAGTGCAGCAGGTGTGGATACTTTAATGGGTGGCATAGCAAAACAAATGTACAAAGCTTTTTCAAACGCTAAACATGTTAATTGTGATTTAAATATTCCTTTTCAACACAAAGTTTCCTATCTTAAAACTCTTGTATTTTAAATAAACCAACAAACATACAAGCTTGTATATATTCTACCAGAGTGCTTCCATTCCAACCAAAAAAAAGGGGAAAAGTTCTGGGAAGTTAGCAGACACCCCTGCTTTCGGGGGAAACTTTAAGGACAAATAATTCACTTTGCATTCTCAACAAAAACTAGTATTTGTACTATATTATGTACTATACTATATTAGTTCCACATTATGTAAAAAAGGTTGATAAGATCAATTAAAGTTTCAAATAAGCCTCTAAGAGCATGACTCTAAATAAAACATTCCCTATATGATGACCAAAAAAAAACCAAGAAAAAAAGGGTTCTGGGGGAGTATGGTAGGCGGATGGGGGGTGGGGGGTGGGGGGGGTCTAGGCACTTGGACAAACCCAGTTTGGGCCCAAGCACCACAGGGCTCCCAAAGCGTCTGCCATGTGGCTTGTTTAAGTGGGTGGCAATAGCAAAACAAATGCATAAAGCTTTTCAAAAGCTAAACATGTTCATTATGTGATTTAAATATTCCTGTACTGCCTCTACAGTACAGAGCTCTCACATTCAACTGCAGGCCCAGTTGTCTGAGAACTACAGGTGAAGCTTTTTAAATCTTAAAAACTTAATGGAAAGTTCAAACATAACTGTGTGTGTCACTCACCGTGGTATGTGGTGTGTGTGGGCTGTGGGCTGTGTGTGGGCTGTGTGTGTGTGTGTGTCACTCCCCCGTGGTGTGGGCTGTGTGTGGGCTGTGTGTGAGCTGTGTGTGGAGAGTGTGTGTGTGTGTTTGTGTGTGTGTGACTCCCCTGTGGTGTGTGGGGTGTGTGTGGGGTGTGTGTGTGTGTGTGTCACTGTGTGTGGAGAGTGTGTGTGTGTGTCACTCCCCTGTGGTGAGTGGGGTGTGTGTCACTGTGTGTCACTCCCCTGTGGTGTGTGGGGGGTGTGTGTGTGGGGGGTGTGTGTGTGGGTGTGTGGGTGTGTGTGTGTGTGTGTGTATGCGTGTCACTCCCCCAGTCTCCAAACAGTAGTTTCTTTTATTTTTTGTTTGGTTTTAGTCAACATGGAACTTAGGGTTTAGACCTGGCTCTGTGCTCTCGGGTCACTTTTGGTGGTGCATGGAGGGACCATACGAGGTTCCAGCAATCTAAGCAAGGACAGTCACGAGCAGGGGAAGTGCCTCACCCCTGTACCATCTCCCTGGCCTTCCTTCCGACTATTTCTTAATAAGGTCTCCAAGAACCAAATAAAGACTATAGTGGCCATACACAAAAAACTAATTGCCTCTAATCAAATGTCACTGAAATTCGAAAAAGCATTTTTTTCTTTTTCAGATATAGGCTAAAAATATCATTTACATGAAATAGAAGTGTTAGTTCAAAGCAATGAATTATCTTTGCAACTGTGCAAATATCTTCTTGTAAAACTCAAAGCAAATAAAATAGTCCAATTCGGGCTGGTTAAAGCTGATCAAAAACAAAGCCCCAGTTTCAAAATGTCTGGAAAATGGGCACATTCTCCTTCTGTAAGGAACAAATGAAGCTCTAGCGAGAACTCAAGTCATGATACCACAGACTATGGGCAACAGAGTTTGCCACTAAGTCTCCTGACTCACAGCCTCCAAGAAACTTCCCCTTCTTAATATGACTTGATGGATGCTGGACTAAGCTAGGGACACACCATGTAACGAAGGTGACAGTTTTGTAGAACATATTAATTATTGCATTCTGAAACAGGCTTCAGAGAGATGAGTCCTTATACTCTATCATCATTTATAGGATAAATGGTATTAAAAATTTCTCATTGAAGAACAAATTTAATCCACTTGGCAGAATTTTTGACTGAAAATCATAGAAGCATAGATAACTAGCCTAAACTTCACTGCTGCACTTCTAAAGAGATTGTGATTTCAAGTGAAAAGTGAAAGATCTCTAGTAAATCCTCTTAATCTCTCAGAGTCAAATAAAATATTATATTCATGCCGGACAGGCATATACAGGGCCTTAAAGAACATTCATCTATAACTTTCATGAAATAAAGTGGATTTATTAGAGCTGATCAGAAAGACCATATTTAGTCCCCTAAATATATTTCATTCATTATTTTCAAAGTAAATAATTTAAGAGACTTAGAAATTATACAACCAAAAATCTAAAGCAAGTAAGTATAAGATTAATTTTAGTTGATCTATGTTAAGTTTAAATTTACAATATTAATTTGGTCTATTGATGAAGATTCAAACATTTTAATTCTTAAAAAGAATATAAATAATACTAAGAGCACATGAATTTGTTTACATATCATTGAATGAGGCAGAGCCCAAGTAAACTGCGTTAAAGGTCTTGAAAAGCAATCTGCTAGATAAGAAAACCTTTAGGAGTCACCAAACAAATGGTTTTTGGGTTAAGGGGCACGTCCAAGGGTTCAGGGGCTATTCCTGACTCTGCCTGTGAGTGATTCCTGGCAATGCTCAAGGAAACATTTTTGGTGTCAGGGATTGAACTGCGTTTGGCTGTAAGGCAAGTGCCTTACCCCCATACTATCTCTCTAGCTCCTGTCTGATTCTTGGAAAAAAATAAAAGTCAATGGCATAAAGGAAATAAAAACCTTTTTTATAAGGGGACTGCTGGCATCAGGGAGACAGATCAATGAGAGGCACAGGTCCTGCCGTGGTCCTTTGGGCATCCCTGATTGTGGTGGCCCCAGTGGTTCCCCAGTAGTATCAGGCCTGAGAATCAAACTTCCTGGCACAGTTAGCCAAGTCTCACCAGGAAAGGTCCCCAAGCCCCCCATGAGAATAGCTTGGGAAGCCCCCTAATAGAGTTAAGAGGAGGCATACTTTATTTTAAAAAGAAATTAAAGGGGCCTGAGAGATAATACAGCAGGTAAGGCGCTTGCCTTACGCACAGTTGACCTGGGTTTGATCCCTGGCACCCCATAAAATCTCCTGAGACCGACCAGGAGTAATCCTGTACAGAGCCAGAAGCTACTTCTGACTCTGAACATAGCTGGGTATGGCCCCAAAACAAAAACAAAAAATACATAAGAACCATATTAAAAGAATCATGGATTAAAAAATTGAGACAATGAGACAGTAAGTGGACAAAGTAATATATATATATATATTTTACTGATTCAATACCAGATGTAATTGTTTTTGGACCACAGACTGGTTATATAGGACAATGGCATTTTCAGGGACAAAATATTATGAAGTCTTTTACTTATTTTCAAAAGTTCAAGGGGGAAAGTTCGCAATATCTGCATAAAGTAAAACAGGTAAATCTAGGCAAGGGGAAAAGATAGGATATCATTCTTTTGGTTTTCCTTTGGGTTTCAAGTTTTTCAAAAGAAAAATCTGGGACGGTAACTCTAAAAAACAAATGCTCAAAAGCAGAAGAAAGTAATCCAATTTGGGGAAGGAAACTGAAAAGGGAAAATGGGAAATGTGCATGAAGGCATTCACATATTCACATCCCCGGGTTTTGACGATGCTTATCAGCTGAAGAAGCTGAAAGGCACTGATTAATCTGTGTGCCCAGTGAATACACGAATTCACTAAACGCGCGGCATCATTCCTGCTGCCAACCCTTATTTTGTTGCTTTTTTTTTTTATTTTGTTTCCTCAGAGGAAGAGCTAGGCCTCAGTTTCAGGTAGTTGGATCTTTTAATAGAGAAAATTAGACCTTGTTTACAATGGTGCTCGCCCATATTACCATTGGACTTTCTGAAACACAGAACACAGAAGCAAGATTAAAATCTACTGCTACAACATTTAGAAATAACACTGGCACTAACCCTGCAGGGATGATCCTCTTCTATTTCTAGCTCATTCCTGATTGTGGGAACCACCTCCCTGCCTTCAGTCCAGTACATCCCTCGCCTTCTGTCTGACACCATACAAGTTTTACTTTGTCCTGGCTCCTGCTGCCTACGCCTCGCAATGGATGTGACATGGACAGGCGTGTTGTAGGAAGGAATTTTCTGCTCCCATTCGGAAATACAGGAAGCTACAGAAATGCTGCTGCAAGAGTTAGAGCGCCTATGTGGCTGTGGCTGGCTCATGAGTTGCTGGCCGTTCGGAATCTGAGCAATATAGTTACTAGAAAGCTAAAAAAATCGAAAAGAAATGAATGAGCAAGACTGAACACTGAAACAGTTACTTTTCTATAAAGCTTTGCACACAAAGACTATTTAATGTACTAATAATGCTGCACTAAGAATTTGTACTAATAAAAATTTGGAATAAACTTTTACTCAACTTGTGCTTAAACTAAATTTTAAAACATGTATAAATGTGAGAAATACATACATTAAAAATTGTTTCTCATAAAAACAGTGACTTAATTGGAAGACATTTTCCCTAGTACCCATTAACTGTAAGCACACTTACAGGAACTGGAGAAGGAGAAACAGATCTCTGAGTGACTCTTTCTCGGTCCCGCTCCCGAGAGGGTCTCTCTGGTTTCTCAGCTTTAGGCTCAGTGACTATAGCCTTCAGTTGTTTCAGTTTTTCGTCTTTGACCCAGAGTTTATTTTGCATCTCCAGCTGTTTGGCTGCCACCCGACGTTCCTAGAAGTTATGAAGGGCAATACACAACCTAATTCAGTGATCACAAACAAGCACACTGGGTTACCTAAACATCTGATTTCCTAAGGAAGACAGTGTTCCAATTCTTCCTGTGCTATTTATGTGTCAGAAATGCTAACTCATGTCATGGACTGGAAAGGTCGTTTCCTAATGAATGGCGGCCACCACTGCTACCAGACAAAGCCTTATTCAACAAGGACAGGCTTTCAAAACCTGACAATCTGGAGCACTCCTGCTCTCAGATCAGCACTGCAGAAATGACACTCACGCATTCCTTCTCCCACTTCATCGTCGTTTCTGTCACCATGCCCTGCAACCTGGCCTCCAACCTCTTCTTATCAGAAAACTGCCGCTGAAGTTTTTGGTTCTGTGTTTCAAGTTCCTGTTGTAGATTGCGTTTATCTTCTTCATATATAGTAGTTGTTTTCTCTAGAATTTCAATCTGGAAAGGTAGACATATTCAATATTGGCTATGTAAAATATCCTGTAGTTAAAAGTCATAATTGACTTCTTTTGAAAACTATCTTTTCCCTAAGTTTAATGCCTAAAACTATTATTTAAGCTATCTGCAGCATAGGCTGCTGGGTCAGAGATACAGTAAAGGGGTGAGGCACTCGCCTTGCATGCAGTGAAACGAAGTTTGCTCCCACCGCCCGATATGGTCCCCAGAGAACAGAGCCTGGAGTAAGCCCTAAGTATTGCCAGGTGAGGCCAAAACCAAAATCAGAATATAGACCAATGTGCTAATGGAGACTAGTTTCTCTCCAGAATGAGTATATGCCCCCTAAATAATCCTCTGTAAATAAGAGAACAAACATATTGCAAGTTATAGTCAAAAAGCACATTGTAACCAAAGCTAAACGCTGAAAAAGTCTTCTGGGAGCTCCCTTGTTAGGACCAGAGAACCTACTCTTAAATTGCTGAAGTCTATCTCAAAAAATTAACCCCCCAAGCATTTCACTCACATTTCCTTTTTTCTGGGGGGGGGGGGGGGGGTCGGGGGAGGGGAGGGTGGGGAATGTGAAGTAGAATATAAACATTACAAACCAAATCATTGACTCTCAGAAAGCAGTGGTTACAGCCCAGGTAGCAAAACAGCCAAGTCAGAGATGCAATCTAAATGGCCATTAATTATAACAGCACCCAAAACTAACCTTATATTCTAAAGTTCTGTTTTTCTTCTCCAGTTGTTCGATTTCCAATTTCTGTCCTGCGATCACCTTTTCTTTTTCATTTAGTTTTCCTTGGATGTAGTTTTCTTTATTTAAAATAGTACTGTCAAATTCTTGCAACAGAGTTTTAAAATGTGTTGCTGAAACAAAAGCATACAGGCCAAGTTTATTCTAAACTGTAGAATAACTAATGAAATAAACCTTGTTAACCAATACTACATAAACTCTCTGAAAGGCTATATAATCAGGAAACAAGGGCCGGGGAAATGGTACAGTGGGTAGGGCACCTACCTTGCACACAGCCGACCTAGGTCTGCTCACTGGTTACACCGTAGGTCCCCTAGTTCCAGCTCTACGAGGAGTGTTCCCTGAGCACAGAGCTAGGAATAACTCCTGAGCACCACTGGTTATGCCTCTCCCCCGCCAACAAAGAAAACAACCCTCCCTCCCCCGGAACGCAGTCCTAACTTGCCAGTATGGAATTTTCTAGTCAGCACCCATGATGTAATCTTTCCCATTCTCCAAAGGAAAACGGGATAATCGGTCACAAGATCTTTATCCATTCCCACATTTCCCATAGGTCACTTACTCAAGCCTGAAATAATTCCTCAGTACCTTATCTCGCCACTTTTTCTGCCTACAAAAACATCTCATTGTGTCAGAAAGGCAACAAAGGAGGAAAGGCGCTTGCCTTGCACATGGCCAACCCCAGGGCAACCCTTGCACATGGCACTCTATGGCTCAGGATCACTGCCAGCAAGGGTCCCTGAGCAGAATCAGTAATAAGCCCTGAGAACCACCAGGTGTGGTTACCAAATTCAAAATAAGCAGATAAATAAAAAGCTTTCATTAGACCAGGATAACGCTGTGGGCTGAGCACTTGCTTCAGATGCAGAAGGCCACGGTTCAGTCCCTGGCGTCTCATGGTACCCCAGCACCACCAGGAGCAACCCCCCACTGAACTAGGAGTACCTCCTAGCACCAGGTGTGGGCCCCTATCACCAAATAAAGACAGTCAGAACTTGAAATCAACACTGTTGTTTTACAATGCCCTTACCTTGTTTGTTAAACTCATCGACCATCATTTGCCGTAGTTGGTGTCGTTTCTCTAATGCTTCAATCAGTTTGGGAAGAGTCTGCTCATCATTGATATCCAAAATCTCACAGGAAGGTAATGGTGGAAAACTCTGTAGAACCACATCTGTAACCAGCAGTTCTGTAATGTTACAAAAAATTACCCCCAAAAAACGTTAGACAGGAGGGATGGAGCAATGGTACAGTGGGTAGAACTCTTGCCTTGTATGTCTCCAACTCAGCTTTGATTCCCAGCACTCCATATGGCCTCCCCAAGCCCTGCCAGGACTCCTGGGCAGGGGAAGGGTGGACGGAGTTATGCAGGAGAACTTACTTGAACAAGTTCAACACAGAGATTAAGGCCCCAGTTCAATTAATTATGTACCTTCTCTAGCTGACTTAATGGCTGGCGAGCTAGTACAAGGGTTAAAGCACTTGCCTAACATGTGGTCAGAGTCAGTTAGACCCCTGGCATCCCAAATGATCCCCCGACCCTTCCTGGAGTGATCCCTTAGTACAAAGAGAAAAGCACTGCCAGTTTCCAAATTCCACCCCAGGCCCAAATAAAATAAATATAATAGAGACCTAGAGATGTGGCTCAGTGCTGAAGTACCAGGAGATACAAGCTAAGAGGTCTGATCCCCTGCTCTGCCCTCCATGAATCTGTGATCTCCAACTCCAAAATGATGAATTTCAAGTGCACCCCAACTAGTGGTACACTGCTCCCAGAGACTGCAGCAACTATGGCAGTAATCATAACCACGGGGCCAGGGACTAGAGGGAAGGCTCTGGCTTTGTGAGTGCCCCGAAGCGCAGCCAGGGATGAGTCCTGAGCACAGAGCCAGGGATGGTCCCTTAGTGCAGATAGGGGAGACCCCCCAAAAAAAAAACACACAAAAAAATAAGAAATACCCAAATAAACAGGAGAAGGTGGGGAGAGGGATTTAAATGAAACAAATAACATTCATGTTTTGGCTCAGGTGTTTTTCTTGGCACTTGGTTCTTCTGTCTGTCTGAGGTCTTGCCCACTGGTGTGTGTTCAGGACCATGGAGTGTTGCGTCTCAACCCGAGGCTTCAGCATTTCCCCCATCCTTAAGACTTATTTCTTAAGGGGAAAGGATGTAATTCCTTTACATGAAATAGATGAAAAGAAAACAGAGTGGTAGAGGGGAGAGGCTAAGTGCTAGAGAGCTTAGGGGAAGATGCTGGGTGAGTCCCTGGCAGCATCTGCTCCCACAAGCACTGTTGGTCATGGCCCTGCTGGCCCCTGACAAGGAGCCGGGAGCCCCGAGAGCCCCCACCTCCAGTGGCCCCTATTAAAAAGGACAGGGGAAGAAGAGGTAGCTTAGTGGGCTGGAGCACATCGCTTGCATGCAGGAGGCCCAGGTTCAATCCCTGGCACTATGTGGCCCTGTGCACTGCTGGGAGTGACCCCCAATACTGAGCCAATAGCCTGTGTGATCCAAAACCAAGATGAATAAGAGATACAAACTGTGGGGCCTGAGAGATAGTACAATGGTTAAGGCACTTGCCTTGCATGCAGCCGGCCCTGGTTCCATCCCTGGCACCACACAGAGTCCCCTGGGCACTGTCAAGAATGATCCCTGCATACAGAGCCGAAGGTAAGCCCTGAGTACTGCTGGGTGTGCCCCCCCAATACACCCCCCTACCTCCCCAAAAAAGAGAAAAGCATGTTAATTAATTGAAATCAAATGATGCTTTCAAATCATACCGTCTCCAATCGGACCAGCCCGAACCTGGTGTCTGTACCGTCTTCCAGGTGTTAAACCGCATATAGCTTTGTCTACTGGTCTTGTGACTTCAACTTCTTGAGTCACTTCTGCAAATCTCATGACTTGCTAAGATACAGAACAAATGCAACGTTATTTGGTATCTTTTGGGTAATAATTAAACATACACATACACACACACATCTTAAAGTCCTTCAGAAATTATCAAATGAAATAAACAATTTATCATTGGTTCACTTCTGTTTCTGCTTCAACTTTTCTAAATATTCAAAATGTTACTTTCACATTTAAGTTATTTGTGCATTCTATAAAAATACTGATAAACCATAATTAGGATAACCAAATTAAAGTTACCAGGCTCTCTTCATAATCTTCAGCTTTTGGGTTCACACACACAATCATGCGTACTTGTCCTTCCCCATCAAAGTAGTTCTTGAACAGATGGGTTAACTTTGAATCTCGATATGGAACCATCTATAAAATACATTCAAATTTAAAAACATAAGGCAGGGCTGGAGAGAGTACAGCGGGAGAGGCGCTTGCCTTTCACGTAGGTGACCCAGATTCAATCTTTAGGACCACATACGGTCCCCTCACCCCACCACAGGTGATCCAGGAGCACAGACCCAGTAAGCCCCGAGTATCATTGGGTGCGAGCCAAAAACAAAAAAAAAAATAGCAAAAGTAAGACAGAAAAGTTCACACAAGCTGAACTATACAAGAAGCTCCTGCACGACAGATCTACTCAACAAAGGCACACAGTTCAGTTATGCTTCCTTGACATCCAGTGAGGATGGGTAGAAAAGAGCGAGCAACTCCAGCCTAATCCTCTGGTGTCTTCCACGTGGTTTAACTGTGGAGCACAGCGACGGGCACTGGAGCAGATAAGACCCAACCTTGCAAAGTGGTCCTAAAGTGAGGCCCTGCAGAAGGAATGTCTGGGCAAAGTTGGCAAGAACAGGCTGTCAGCACCACTTGCCCAGCCTTGATCTTCACTGACCTCCTAGTCACATGAGCCCAAAGTTGCAGAAACTGTCATGTATGATTAGCAAGTCATCCTAACTGCGGCATCTAGCCTTGATAGGGACTGGACCGGGGCAAAACAGGGTAGCAAAGGCGATAGGCCATTAGTGCTAAACTTTATGTGACTGGACCTTCCTGTAAGCCGAGACCCTCTATAAAATGTGTGTATTTGGTAGTAAAGTGACCAGCTGCTCCCAGGAGGGTGGGTGTTTTTCCACGTGCCCATCATCCTTCGCCCTTCATCTGCCTGAACCCAGTGTGCAATATGTCTGGGCACCGTTGGGGAACACTATTTCCCAACATTAATTATAAAAACTCCCGGCCAGCATAGGTTAAAAAACCAACATGGAAAACATGAAGAAGCCCACAAGTTCAAGGAGCAAAACCCACCAGAGACACAAACACCACCAACCAGCTCAGCAAATCCTCCAACAATGACGTTAGCGACACCGTAATGAGGGGGTTTTAAATAAATCCATGAAACTAGGGTACAGGAGTAACAAAGCACAAGAAAGTATGAGTCAAAATGCAAAAACTACTACAATCAGAAATCAACAGCAGGGTAAGTGACATAAAAACCTCAACAGAAGTTCTACATGGCAAAATAAGAGCTGAGCAAGAGATCAAGGAACTCCATGATGAGAAGGAAACCACTATGAAATTGCAGGAGGTAGAAAATAGTCTGAAATGAACAGCATACCAGAGAATTATGGGATGAGTTCAAGAGGAACAATATAAGAATCATCGGAGTCCCTAAGAAACAGGAAGGCAGATGTGATGAAGAAACAATAGTTAAAGACTCAACAATGAATCTCTTGGGAGAGAGCAGAGAATGATATGTCAGAGACGCCTCCAGACCCCGCGCCAGGCTGTTTCTCTCAGGGCAACCAAGAAGGGGGCTAATGAGTTCCCGGTTCTACCCCAATGGAGCCAGCAGCTGAAAACCTCCAGAACTTAATCACCACCATGCTCACGGACAAGGCTTGTCCGAGCATGTGGGATCTCCACATGCTCGGACAAGCCTTGTCCATGAGTGAATCTATTCCTGGACCACGCGGTTGCATTTGTGGCCACACAACATCTCATATTTTATACCACTGATATACCAAGGAGTGTCAAGAAAAAGCAAGGACAAGCTGAGAGATGCTGATTCTGAACCTCATATTTTGGCCATTTTTGTACGTGAGGAGCACTCCTGGGGGTGCTTGGTGGACCATTTGGTACCAGGGATCAAACTGAGGCTCCTGCATGTGAATATGTGATCCAGAACTTTGCACCATCTCCTGGACTCTGGAATCTAATATTTTCCAGGAGTAGGTTTGCCGGGGAAACACTAAGAGAGTCTGAAAATGTATCACACTAACACTTTCTCCTTTTCATCTGCAAACTGGCATTGGTAGGTAAGACATTGTTTGCAGCTGAGAATTGCTGAGTCAAGACAACATGGTGCTTTCTTTGACGGAACACACGCTCCCTCCATAATCAATCCATCTTGAGGTGGAGAGGATGGGGCCATTGCAATGCCATATGCTCCAAAATATGAAGGGAGAAACCTACTATTTTTAGTTCCACAGCAGCCGAATTTATGGACTAAGTCCTTGGTTTCTTAGAAATCAACCGACAGAGGTTATAACTGCAAAATCACTTGAGGTCAAGTGTAAGTAAATTGATTCAGAGCACCTGCCAGCAGGATTGTTGCCCTAACAAACTCTCTTATCAGGAGGCAGGAGTTTGGGCTTGGTTTTTCCAGAAGGGTGAAAGCTGGAATTTGAACACTTGAAGCAGTCTTCTGGAGCCATGGCAACAAAGCCTCGATGGAAAAGGAGCATCCCCAGGACTCAGGTGAGACATATTTCACATCCCCGCAAACTGTGCATGCGGCTTTCTAACAAGAAACTAATTTTAATTATATCTGCTATCCACGCCTGGCTGTCCTCGCCAGGGACTCTTGGAGGGGGGCGGGTTGAGTTTCCCTCCCCACCCCGACCAGAGCCCCAGCAGCCGAAGACCTCTAGAACCAGCTACAACCATGCTGAGACCACTCTCCACACGCATGAAGGTACCGGCAGAGGAACAAAGGCATGCGGGTCCCAGGGCTGAGATCTCCAAGCCTGCTCGGATCGGGACTGAGCATCCTCCACCCAGATCCTCCGAATTCCAGTAGGCAGGAGTCACACCCACCATCTGGCCCCCTGGCGCCGTGTAATCCCATCAACGGCCAAGACCCAGAGACTATAAAACCCAGCTCCCGGACTCGCAACACCTTATTATCTCATTCCTGCTTTCGACAACCTGGCAGGCTACCGAGTGCAGCCTGTCCACATGGCAGAGTCTAGCAAACTCCCCGTGGCATACCCAATATGCCAAATACCAGTAACAATCATGGGTCTCACAACAGGATGATCGTAATCATGATATACCAAGACTAGCACACCACATTTGGTGGATTTTAAAATAGAAGGCAACAAATCTTAGGGGCAAGTATATGGAGAGATATAGATACACACACACACACAACACACACACACTCACATATAAGCTCACAAGGCTCAACCTTTAACAACATGTTACTAATCTCTTATAGAAGAGCTTAATGGCTCTTTGGTGAAATATAACAATCTTCACACACTTTCCTCTAAGAAAACTTTTTGGGATCATTTTTAGTGGATTATTCATAACAAGCAATACAAAGTAAATTACTTTGCTTCTGCTTTGGGGGCAAGGTTTGGGGTTCAGGATGGAAACACTCAAATATAGTGGTGGAATGGTGTAATGGGGGTGTTTGGATATTAAATGTAATCAATTACTGTGAATAACGTTATAAAAATAAAATTTTAAAAAAGAAAGTTAAACAAATCATCTGTAATAATTTACCAGGGTGGAGGAATACAAGCACTGAGATTCAATAGGCTCAAAGGAGTCCCAGTGAAAATAGACCCAATTAGGAAAACCCCACGACACATTGTATTCAAAATGATACAATCCAAAGATAGAATACTTAAAACAGCAAGATCAAAAAGGACCTTCCATACAAAGGAAAGCCCATAATAGTCTCAGCAGATGTATCAAATGAGATTCTAGGAGCCAAAAGAGACTGAAATGATATAGTTCAAAACTAAACGCAATGAACACTTCACCAAGAATACTCTATCCAGTTAGATTATCATTCAGCTTTTGTGAGGTCACAAATTGTGAGTGTTGTGCGACATGTGTGTTCAGTGGCCAAGAGCCACCTCCCGTCCTCCCGAAGCCTTCCCAGCAGAGAGACAGAGATATAGGGACACAGCCTGATGGGGAAAATGGCCAGTTTAATGCAGAGTTGCTACTTACAGAACATCTGAGGGGGGTGGAGATATAGGACCTAGGTGTGATTGATGATTTAGAGATGAAATATTTGGCAGAGGCAATTCCCTTAAGGACATTAACTCAAGGAGACACGCTGTCTCCCAGGGACATCTACATTGCTTTTGTCTTTCCTTCTAGTTGTGTATGTTGAACAATTAAGTTTACTTCTTACCAGGAAGTGCAGTTGTTTGGATAAACACACTGAGACAAAGATCCCAAATCTTAGTTCTCTGGGCTCTGAGAGCAAGCAAGGCTTTTACCGTAAATCCCAGACTAAGTCTCCTCAGGCCAGTTCAGCTTGTCCTTCCCCATGGGGGTCCTGCCTCTTAAGTTATAACAGCTTGCATCAAGACCATGCATTTATGCTTTCTAGACTGTTCCATTTTGATGCCGGAGTAGCCTCACTTCTCGCCCTAGGTCCATACCAGTCCCATGGCAGGACCTCCCTTTTGGGGTGTTAGGAACTACAGCAACTGAAGCTTGAGTCAAGTAATTATGACCAATGTCCAGAAGTAGATATATTTCAGAGTTGATCAACTCCCAAATATTGAGAGCACAGCATTAATGTTCTTTCTGTATTTAACCAAAGAACACTGTTCTCCAGTACAATATAAAAAGGCTATAGGAAAAACAGAAAAGTACAAATACACAGCATTTCAAATACACATCATTACAAAGTCCAGAACTACCAGAAATCTTTGGCTTATTAGTAATCAAGACTGACCTGGGGAACTGAGACAATTAGAGGTAAAACACAAAGGAAAGGTTAAATATAAACTTTTAACAAAATTAGGGATGCTAGCAAGAGCATGGTAAGCTTCTTGGGAGGAGAAAAAGGGGAAATTCACTGATGAAGCCTAAAACACTTAGGGTTAATATCCAACAAGCTTTGAAGGAACCATACAGAATTTAATGGACGGGCAACAGTTTAGACGATTAACAAGATAAAAATCCATTAAATTTTGCAAGAAGCAGTAAAGAGCTCTTTTAAAGAACAGGACACAAACTTCCCAACATGTGGCACTGAGTATGGTACTCAAAAATGGTGTATATGATTGTCTTCTACTAGGCTAAAAAAGGTTAAAAGCATAGCAATCATCACATATGAACTTTTTTATTTTCTGATAATTCTATTTTTTATTATTTTATTGGAGCAAGTAATGTGAAGTAAATTTTTTATGTACCTGCAAAAGGGGCAGGTATAAAGGAGGGATAAAAGGGAACCTAGGGACATTGATGGGGAGAAAGGGACATTGGTGGTGGGACTAGTGTCAACAGTGTATGTTTCAAACACTATGGACAACTTTAAAATGAGCTGAATTTACTCTCAAAAAAAAGCCTTTTTAATTATACAAAAAAATTACAAGTTACTGCTTACCTTATTAGTTCCACATATTTGATTCTCTCTCAGGACCTCCATGCAAGTCCTCAGTGTCATCAATGACTGATTAATGTTACCTGGCAGAAAAATAAAGGAGACAGCATTTTAACCTCTGTACTATCTACTTCATCAAAAGAAACCACACATTTTTGCAAGGCCAGAGCCCAATCCACCTAAAATTTGATTTTTTAAATGTGATTTTTGGAGGGGTTCAGAGAGACAGTACAGTGGAGAGGGTGCTAGCCTGGCATGCAGTTGACAGGGCTTCAATTCCCAGCACTACCTATGGTCCCGGGCCCTGCCATGAGTTATCCCTAACTGTAGAACAAAGAGAAAGCCCTGAGTACTGCTAGGTATAGCCCAAAAGACAAACAGAAATTTAAAATATAAAAAATAATAATAATATTAAATTTAATAACAAAAATTTAAAATAATTTTTTATAGTTTATTGCTGATCAAGATATTTATGTCTACACTACTTGACATTTTTTATTAGTCCTGGCAGACATTTATGTAAGAACTTAATTAAAAAAAATAAAAAGTCCTACTCACTGAACCATCTCTCTGGTCACATAAATAACTTTTTCTCCCACTTTAACCGCTTCTCTATTGGCAAAACCTGAGCCTATAATCCTCAACTCAAATCTCTTTTCTTCCAAATCTATGTCCCTCTGCATCCAATTAGTTAATAATTAAAATTATTATTATAAAACTTTGGTCCAGAAAATTAAACAAGACAGCATCTTTATTATTTCAAATGAAAACTTTGAAAACACTCCCCAGATCAGATTTTTTATCCATCTCCCCCCCCATATTGGTCTTCTTCCTCCTTAGCATCCTCAGATCAGAGTTCTGTGGACTGTAGCCTCCTTTTGTTTCCATTAGGAATTGTTTAATCTCGTTACTTTCAATTATTAGGGTATTGCTACTTGGATAAAAGAAATTCAGCACAAACTATGAATTGCCTGTCTCCCCCCCCCCCCCCCACACACACACACTCACACTTTAAAATGCCCTCTTCCTTATCAAGGTCTTGATCTGTCCTTTTCCTTATTTTCAACAGCCAGGTGGCACTGTTTCCTAACTAGTGCTCTGTGAAGCTTGACTTCTGCCTCCAGGCCATGAAACCACTTATCTCAATTAACTGCTTTCCATATCCTAGACTTGCCCCAGGTATTCTAATTCTCTATACTGGAAAGAAGGTCTGGGTAAAATGCTAAACCTACATTGACTCTGAGGGCAAGCTGATGTCTTCATTTAAGTGTCATCCCCATGAATTCTTCCACAAAGCCCTCTTCATGTACACACCCTCTTCAGGTTCACCCTAGGAACCTGTGTGGCTCCCAGCCCCCTCTCCTGAAGCAGCCTGTCACCTGCCTATCTCATGTACTGTACTCTAGGGAAGAGCATCCTCCTCCTATGTTCAATTCCACACATACACGAGGCACTCTGAAAGTGTTATTAACCTTAGACTTAACAAAAAACACATAGGTTACTTCCCTTCTATTCACTTTTGTTCATTGTTTTTCCACTACTACGTATATTGGGTGAGCTGCTAAGTCACTTGATTTTAAGGACCTAGTATTGACTATACCAGTAATGGCTCTAATGCACTCTTTCAATATGAATATGACTTTCTGGGGTGAGAAAGGACCTCCACAGTGACACTGGGGGCCACCAGGAGGGTTCAGAAGGCTAAGTGGGTTCTAAAATTAAACCTGGGCCTTGTATGCGCCAGAGATATGAAACGGTACTTTGAGCTATTTCCCTAGCCTTTTGAATATTACTCATTTTAATCACTTTTTCTCATTCTTTTTTTTTTACCTTTTCTCATTCTTAAAAAAGAAAAAATCAATTGCTATATTGATACCAAATCAGTATAAGTAAAAAAAATTTTTTTCACTGCCCACTAAACCAAGCTTCTAAATTACCAAATTGAAGATAGTTATACTTATCCAATAAGCAAGTGAGAAATTACAATACAAGTGTTTAGAAAGTTTTAACAATGAGTAAGAACTATGCTTAGCTCACCTGCTTCACGTAATCTATTTCCTTCTGCTTTTGTCCGGTTAGTTCTTTCGCTTCCAGCGAGATCTACCAAGGACAGCTGGCTTATAGAGATTTGTTCTTTTTCCTAAAAGATCATAAAGGCAATTATAAAACAAGATATAAGTGTAATATTCTTTGAGTTCATATGGTCCCTGGAGCAATTTGAATATCTTAAGGTATATTCAAACTAACAAATTGTCTTATGAATATACTATCTGCAGAGTAAAATTTTATAGTACGGCCAAAAGAAACATGTTTGCAGAGAGTTTGCTAAAAGAGGTAAATATACTCATGGTACGAAAGGGTTTTTCCATTATCTGGCCTTTGACATGATACTATAAGCTCTAATAGAGCAGGGGCTCTATCTTCAACCACTCATTCCTTAACCTTGAATAGGACCCTAACAGTCAACAAATGTGTAGAAAAAAAATGAGACTAGAGGGGCCCGAGAGATAGTAGAGAGAGTAGGGCCCTTGCCTTGAATGTAGCAGTACCCAGGCCAGATCCTCAGCACAGTCCCCAAACTCTGCCAGGAGTGGTCCCTTAGTGCAGTCACGAGTAAGACCTGAGCACCTCCAGGTGTGACTCCAAAACAAAAACAAGGACTGGTGTGATAGCGCAACAGTAGTACAGCAGGTACGGTGCTTGTATTGCATGTGTCCTACCTGGATTCAATCCGCAGAACTCCATATGGTCCCCAGAGACCTGCGCTTCAGGAATAATCCCTGAGCACTGCTGGATATGGCCCCAAAACAAAAAACACCACACACACACAAAACCCAAAAACCCCCCAGAAATATAAAACAGTGAGTCTAGAACAATTTTCTTATAATATTTAGTGACTTTGTAGTCAAATAATTTATTAATTTTTATAATAACAAAGGTCGAGGAGTACAGAACTCATATCGCAATTATATAATTATATGATTCAAAGAACTGAGAAATTGTATAGTGACTAAGGCACTTGCCTTGCATGAACTTGATCTGGGTTTGGTCCCCAGCACCACTTATGGTCCCCCCAAGCTCTGGCAGGAATGATCACCCAGCATTGTCATGTGTAGCCCAAAACGAAATCCAGAGTCCACGTAGCTTGATTTAGAAGCTTTCTAGCCAGCTTTTATGGGATGCCTACAATAGCCAAGTAGTGGGCTAAACGCTTTCCGTTTACATGCACTACCTCCTTTGATCATCACTATACCATAAGGAATTAAGACCAGAGAGTGAGTAACCCTTGTGGTCCTCTGGATCTCCTACCATCTCCTCCTGGAAATCTTTATGATGCCATAATTTCAAGACACGTGTTGATAATTCATCTTGATAGTTTAAAGTGATGAACATTCATTTCAGAACAAACACTTTCACAAATTCATAAACAAAGGTTTGTCACACGATGAATGCAGCAGTAAATAGTGATGAGCAGATGGAAGGGCCCTATTTGGCCTCAGCCAAAGAAAAAACATTCAGAACAGGCCACTTCCTGAACAGTCTCACCCCTGAAGTTACTTTCTGACATCTTACATTCATGAGCATAATCTCTACGCCACATATGAGTCTTCTACAGTGAAACAAACCATAATTTTTTTTTTTTGCTTTTTAGGTTAGACCTGGCGATGCACAGGGGTTACTCTTGGCTCATGCACTCAGGAATTACTCCTGGCACTGCTCAGGAGACAATATGGGATGCTGGGAATCGAGCCTGGGTTGGTCATGCAAGGCAAACACCCTACCCACTGTGCTATCACTCCAGCCCCATAAATCATACATTCTTATTTCATCTCCTCTAGTAAAAAGACACTGATAGCCAGAACAATGGTGCAGCAGGTAGAATGTTCGCACATAGCCAACCTGGGTTAGATCTCTGGTCCCCCAAGCCTGCCAGGAGAAAGATCTGAGCCTCGCACTATGGCCCCAAATTTAAAAAAATCCCTTGCATATAAGTTTATTTGAGCCATCTTCACTGCAACAAAGATTTAACTTTAAGTCCAGGAATTAAGGACTCAATTAGAACAAGAGAATACACACTCTGTATTTACCTGCAGGACGTTGTCCCCATCTGCATTCAAGGGCGCCTGAACCAATTTAATGTTGAACACACTATGTGAACGGCTGGATTCACGATTCAAGTGTGTGTTTGCAATACGCCTCTTCTTCTGGCCTATGAGGACAGAGAAATCATTGAACAGCCTAACTTCAGTCATTACATTAAATCACCAAGTACTACTGTCAAATTATGTGAGAAACGCTCAGGACTACATTTAGGATTGTATGTATTTCTCATTCTTAAGTCTCTAACCTCTCCAGAACACTTCAAAGGCCTCCTCTGTTGATTTCACTTCTACTTCTGTACATCCTGCAACATACATGTTACGGTTCTGATCTTCACGGAGCACTTTAGATTGAGGAATTCTACGGAAAGGAAAAAAATATTAGTTTTCTAAATGAAGAGAAACCAATGTCAACTGAAGACGGAAAAGGCCAGATGAGTCAACGACTATCCTTTCTACAGGAAAAAGCCCACATGAGACTCCAGGAAAATACTCAACGTGGATAAGTAAAAAGCTCGACAGTCAGGATTAGTTACATAACGGGAGCTAGGAGCCTATTTTAGTCTACAGACGTTGCTCTAAATTGTTCTAACAAAGCACATGAAACAGCACTCACTAAGCAATCAGAGATCACAGTAATGGTACAGCAACAACACAAGCACAGGGAGGGCATTAAAAATCTAGCATTTTCCTGATTTTCACCCGTCAACGGATCTGGCTGGTTCTTTCCTCAATGCCAGCCAGCAGGAAACAAATTCAGACGGTTTGGTGTATACCAGGAGTGGTAATCCTTTCACACGGTTTGGTTGGTCAAGTTTTAGTCTGTGTGATAGGAAAGGATGGAAACGGGAGCTGTCTGTTGGCCTCAGTTTTGTGCACGGTGGGAGAGAAACATCTACTTGCCGTCATCACTCAGTAAATGGTAGATTTTTCAGGAAGAGGGGAGGGGTACAGAAACAGCAGCCAGCCCAGCGCCCAGCATAAACCACCTCATGCAAACATGCCACAGGTGCCACCACTGGTATAACTGCACCCTCTAAAGGAAAACCGATCCCTTCACATACACAAACTCTGTGTTCCTCAAGGGTGTGCTGCAACTGTTCCACCTACCAAAGGAACAAGGAGTAAGTTACTGTTTCTCCCGCAGTCAGCTCCTAGCAACATACACAGGTCAGAGTCCCAACAGAGGCTCCTTTAAAATCCTCCACTTGAGCCAGAGAGGTAGGACAAGGGTTATGGTGCTTGCCTATACATGGTCACCTCAGTTCGGTGCCCCAGCTCCACATCTGATCCCAAACAACAACAACAAAAGAACTCTACTTGCAAAGTTTCTTCACAATATTAAAAAAAAATATTAACAACAGAAAAGACAGCTTAAACACCAATCTAACAAATGAAATCTGAATTTGGTGTCAAATAAGCACCCTTTGAGTTTATTCCTGGAGTTAACAGAAAAGCCAAAAATCATACAAGTCACAGAACCATAAACCAGCAATGAACGCGATCATAAAAATTCAGAAAAATGGGTACCCATAACGGACACTTTGAAACGTACGGAAAGCGAGTCATCTATAACTTAAATATAAATAGAAGGACAAGTAAATACCTGTTCTCACCGTACATATGGCTGGCTGTATTGGGGGCGGTGCACTGAACCCAACACCCCCATCATGAAATGTTCCCCACCCTACCACTGAGCCACACCTCCAGCTCTAACCTGTTCTCATTTTAATGGTTTTCTAATTCTAGTTGTTCCCTCAATAATGTTCAGTTATACAAACAAAAGTTAGTTGTACAGGTCTTTGCACTTTTTATGCTACAAGGGATCATAATAAAGACAACACTAAAGCCAAGCATTTAGCTTAAAAACGTCTCATGAGGGGCTGGAGCAATAGCACAGCAGGTAGGGCGTTTGCCTTGCACTCGGCCGACCGAGATTTAATTCCCAGCATCCCATATGGTCCCCCAAGCACTGCCAGGAGTGATTCCTGAGTGCATGAACCAGGATTAACTCCTGTGCATCGCCGGGTGTGACTCCCCGCCCCCCCCAAAAAAAGTCTCACAAACCAGATACTAGTACAAATGCAAATCTCTTGTTTGGATTCCAGGTTGTGAATGAACTTTCGTCTAAGCAAGGAAGGACTCCGATCTGGGAGGTGTCCTTCCTTGGGTTTTGGGTTTTTGGGGGGTGGCCACACCTGGCTGTGCTCAGCGCTTAATCCTGCCCTTACACTCAGGGATCACTCCTGTTAGGGCTTGGGGAATCACGAAAGGATCAAACTCAGGTTGGCTGCGTGCAAGAAAAAGTGCCTTACTTACTGTATGTAATCTCTTTCTACCCCATTAATCTTTATTATTATTATTTTTTGTGGTGCTAGGGATTGAATCTAGGCCTCACCCATGCAAAGCCAAATGATGTATCACAGAGCCACATTCCCAGCCCTAGGTAGTCTTTATCCTTCAGTGGAATGAGTGACCCTGTCGATATGACGTCACACTAACCAGTGATGTGAGGAACAGCTAACAACAGCACTATGCTGCTCCCTGGTGATGACCAAGTCACAGGGTCAATAGGCTACACATCCCCAACCCTGTCAGGTCCTAAGAGGTCCAGGAAAGCACTTCCTTATACAATTAAAGGTCTTCTTAAAATACAGCCAGGGCCAAGTCTTTTAAATGACTAAAACCAAGCATCAGTCCCTTATAATGGGGGGTGGGGAGTGGGGAGGAATCGAATACTCACTGAGGTCAAGTGATTTCCCTAAGCAGCTATGAAAGGGCTCCCTTCACTACTTACTTTGGCTTTATGGGATCAAATGGCGTCTCTTCCAAAAGATCATATATGTAATTGTTATATATTTCAATATACGAGACAAACACGCCATAAACACTGTCTTCATCAACTTCTGCTTTGCAAAATTCTTGTACATTTATCATATCTGCAAATTCCGGATCTACTTGTCGCCTGAAGGGAAAAAAAGCCAAAAAGTCTGAGCTTAGATATTAGAAATCAAAGTGAAAAATGAAAGACCCCATGGACTGGATGGAGAGAGTCTGTGGCAGCCAAGAGTACTCCAGGTTATCCTAGGCACTCAGCACAGGCTTTACACCCACCTCCTCCAAAGAGGAAGCGAGGAACTTCTCAAAATAGTGTTTCAGGGCAACGCTCAGACTCAAGAGAATCTGAGCAAACAAAACCATTCTTCAACTTTGCTCTCACTGAGGTCAAGTGTCAAACCAACTTCTTCACTTCATGTGGGATGACCTAATCTCTGCTTAAAGAAACCAGAAGAGGCCCCCGGAGAGGCCCCTAGGACCAATGCTACATACAAATGTCATTACTTACTTGCTGGAGGGGGTCTTTGGATTGGGCATGGCATCTCTTCTCTGTCGTTCCAATAAAGCATCAATTTCAGACTGTATGTCCATGCTGTTCCTGTCATTAGATTTAAAAACCTAAAGAATGAAGCAAAAACCAATCTTCAGAAATAATATTTAAAATTTAAACATATCTAAATCCCCAATTCAAGCACTTTGGTCCTCCCATACCACTGTATCCACAAACCTTGCCCCGTGGGTGCTCCAGTCAGTCACAATAGAGTGATACTCACGTATCGTTTAGCTTGAAACCGGCCTATGCTGTTAAAGATCATTCCTAAGCAACGAGGAAGCAGTCCTCCCTCCCCCGGAGAGCCAGTCATGGTGTGTGTTTTTCCACTGCCAGTCACACCATATGTGAAAAGGAGACCTACAACATAGCAAATCACACTCAGTTATGCATTAGAAATTGCACTGGATGGTATCAAAATTCCCCCACTTGTATTATTAATTGTATCAAAATTACATTTTTATTTTGTTTTAGGGCCACACTTGGTGGTACCATGTTAATCAAACTTAGGACCACAAATTTTGACAACAGAATCACAACCCAACAACAACAGATGTAGAAAAACAAAGTTCACATTGGCAAAAAAGTCGATGTAATATAACTCTAAGAAATCTTATCTAAACTCAAGATCAAATATAAACCAAACACACAATATTTTAAAATATATATATATCAGAAGGAGAGCAAAAGGAAAAGTCTAGCCAAACTCCAAAAGCCATACCATTTTTGCCATGAATGAGGTTGTCTACTAAGGGATTAGCAACAACATCAAAGAGCTCCTTCTGGGTGGTGTGAGTTCCGAACACCTGTTTGAATGTATACTGCGTCTGTGGGAAAGGAAGAGGTAAGAAGTGTATGAATGGAATTATACTACGTTTAGGTTCAAACAGCATGTAGGAAAGTCTCAGTTCCATAAGGATTCAGACTAAGACTGATTTTATTTAAATAACAAAGATCAAGAGATGTAACAATTCAGACTGGAAAATCAGAAAATCCTTACACATAATTTCATACATGGTTTTGCTCCTTTTCCTATTTTGCTATAAGGCACTTACAATAGCATGGCAGCATAACCAAGGGCTTTGATACTCCGACAGAGGAGGCAAAGGTGTAATGCCTTGTGGTGCTCAGGAGACCATGTGGTCTGAGGGACTGAGCCCAGGTTTCTTTCAGGTAAAGCAACACTCAGTCCTCCGAGGTATCTCCCTGCACCTCATCTGAATTCTTTTCTTTTTTGGGGGGCCATACCTGGCAGTGCTCAGGGCTTACTCCTGGCTCTGCACTCAGGGATCACCTCTGGTTGAGCTATGGGTGCTGAAGATCGACTTGGATTGGCTGCATGCAAGGCAAATGTCCTACCAACTGTACTATTATTCCAGCCCCTCATCTGAATTCTTACAGATAATTCTTAGTAAATTGTGACTCTAAGAGCAATAATATTTAAGTGATCAAATTTTTTCAAAATATTATAAAGTACAATAATATTACAAAATTCCTACTGGGAAAAATAGGTTGGAGATTATAATGTATGTGTTTTTTATATATATATACATATATGTGTATGTATGTGTGTGTGTATATATATATATATATATATTTGCGTTTGTCTTTAGGACACCCCAGCAGTGCTCAGGGGACCATGTGGTATAGGGACAGAACCAGACCCCCTGCATCCAACAGGCCACACACAGCCCATTGAGCTGTCTCTTCTGCTCCTCTCCCTCCCCCACTCACTTTTTAGGTTTTGGGCCCACCTGACGATGCTCAGGGCTTACTCCAGGCAATACACAGAACACAGAGGGTGCTGGGGATCGAACCTAGGTTGGTTGTGTGCAAAGCAAGCACTTACCTGGTCTGCTATCACTCTGAGTTTAAATGTCCTATTCACCCAGGGACTAAAGCTCTATTTTGTTTTTTGCTATTTCTAGTTTTATTTGTTAAAACAGAGAAAGAGAGAGAAGATTGCTGCACCACTCATAAATGAATAAAGTTCTTGGGGCTGGAGCAATAGAACAGAGGGAAGGACGTTTGCCTTGCACGCTGCCAACCTGGGTTCAATCCCTGACATCCCATATGGTTCCCCAAGCACCTCCAGGAATAGCTGCTGAGTGCAGAGCCAGGAGTAACCCCTGAGCATCACCAGGTGTGACCCCAAAAGCCAAAAATAAATTAATTAAAAAGTCACTAAGTTCTTAAAATTGACTCAGTGGGATTTTGTATGCCAAATTGCAGACACTGAAAGATTTGGGGAGTTTTCTGAACTTCTAGTGGATTTTGCTTAATGCCCTTATATTTCTATTAGTTTTACTTTTTTGGTCTTGGGGCCACACTGGCTGTGCCCAGGGCTTACTCCTGGCTCTGTGCTCAGGGATCACTCTTGGAGGGCTTCAGGGAACTATGTGGCTACTAAGGCTAGAATCTACATGGCAAGCACTTCACCTACTTGACTTCCAGCCCCTTATGTTTTAAAAATGAACAGTTTGGGGACCAAGCCTGTATTCTCCCTTGAACACACACCTCACTCGTCTCTGTGCCTTTTCCACTCTGCAGAAGCCTTTGCTCTCTCTTGAACATGTACTTTCTCTCTTTCCTCACATCTTTCTAAGTAAGTTTCAGGGCCAGAGAGATGGTAAAGCAGGTTGCAAGCAACAAGGGACCTGAGTTTGCGTTTAAAGTTGCGTTGCAAGCAAGGGACCTGAGTTCGATTCCTGGCGTTCTATATGGTCCCCCAAGCACTGCCGGGAGTGATCCCTGAGCGCTAAACTGGGAGTAATCCCTGAGCATCACTGGGTATGGTCCAAAGACAAAGTTTCAATAGAAACTATCTTGCTTCATAAAAAAAAATAATCAAAAATTAAATTAACAAGTTTGTCCCCAAAAGGGAGATACATATAATTGTATTCAAACATACTACAGCTGACACTTACACTGACCATGTCTCAGTATGCCTTAGGATGGCAGTGAAGGGGTTCATTTTTACAGCTACCGATAGAGGCTAGTAGTGGAGCCAGACCCAGAAGTGCTCAAGGTTTACTCCTGGCTCTGATCTCCAGGAACCAAGTATCACTGGGGAGCAAACCAGGCTCTCCCATGTGCAAAGATGCACTCTACCTATAATCTCTCTGGCCCACTATTACTATCTTTAACTTATTAAAGATCACTCCCCTACTTCAGCTCTCTCCTTTGTGAACGTTTTCACTCCAGTCCAATAAAACAGTTTTGAAGTTCACAAAGAATAAGGAACCTCAGCACTGAAAGTAGCTGTCAGAACTAGCTAAATTATACAGTATGGAGAAATTAGTCAAATGATCTCGAGTCTTCATGAACAAACTGTCCCTCTCCAGGTGAAAAATAAACATACCTAAGGTCCGATGGGTGAACTGACCCAAGCCCCTATTACTACTTAGCATCAAAGCCATTTCTAGTCTAGTGCTTCTTCTGTCATTCAATGACGTCACAAGGCAGGGAACTTTTCATCCCGGCCGAACCTCTGTACTATTTATACACACTCATAATTAATAAGTGAAATTCAGTCCATCAGCTTTCAACTATGCTGCATCCTCAAATACCTGCTCTTCCACGAAGTTTTCCTAGGACCACTGCTGCTTAATATTTACTGAATATCATAGAAACGGAACACAAAGGCATAGAGCTTGAGTCTCCTTAAGAAAGGGAAAGGGAAAAAGACAACAAGGCTGTAATTAAATCTATAGGCTGCTCTAATTAAATCTATAGACTGCTCTAAAGTGCCATAAAGGAAGAACAAGCAAAGAAAAAAAAAGACTAAAAGAAAGACAAGTCTAAAGACAAGGGGGCTGGAGCGACAGCACAGCAGGTTTGCCTTGCACAAGGCCAACCCAGGTTCAATTCCCAGCATCCCATATGGTCCCCTGAGAGACTCCAGGAGTAATTCCTGAGTGCAAAGACAGAAATAACCCCGAACCAAAAAGCAATAAATAAATAAATAAATAAATAATAAATAAAAGATAAGGAAACACAAGGAAGGAGGTGGGGCTGTCCCTCTGAGGAGATGCTATGGAAGCTAAAACCTAGAGATGAGATTTCACCAAAGAAAAGGTCAGGTAAGTGAGCAGCACAGAAACAGGATTCTGGTCATCCAAGGAACTCAAAGGATTGGGTAAAAAGTAAGAGATAACTGCACAAAGATAAGACAGGATTTTCCCCATTTAAAGACTTCCCTGAAACTCCCTGGAATGTTTTGCACATGAAAATGATTTAAAATGTAATTGAATGTCACTTGGCAGCCCTTGGGAATAGGATATCAAAAAGTTCTAAGGCAGACCAGTTGGCCGTCAACACATCCTATGAAAGTTACTCAGAGTATGGTCAGCAAACGAGTACCCCACAGAACTGTCTATTCAAGGCAGAAGGGAGGAATACACAGGAAATGCTTACAGCACTTTTACAGGTCACAAATCACAAATCACAAATCATCCTGTTATTCGCCGATTGTCTCGAGCAGGCCCCAGTAACGTCTCCTTCATCCTAGCCCTGAGATTATATTCAAGGCTCTTTAGGAGAATGAGACCCATCATTGTTACTGGTATTTGGCATATTGGGTACACCATGGGGAGTTTGCCAGACTCTGCCCTGTGGGCAGGCTACATTCGGTAGGCTGCCAGTTTGTCCAAAGTAGGAATGAGATAATAAGATGTCATAATAAGATGTCGCGCAGGCGCGAATGCGGCCGCGCAGTTCCGAGAGCTGGTTTTTATAGTCTCTGAGTCTTGGCCGCTGATGAGATTACACAGTGCCAGGGGGCCAGTTGGTGGGTGTGACCCCCGCCTACTGGAATTTGGAGGATCTGGGTGGAGGATGCTCGCCCCGATCTGAGTAGGCTTGGAGATCTTTTACAGGTCGGAGTTGGAAAAAGATATTGCAAAAGGGGAGAATAATAGATGAGAGCTGAAAGGAAAGAAAAAAGTGTTGCACATAGGAACGTACTACTAAAATCAGGCAATAGACTACAACTTAGTGGCAGAGGCCATGATTTGGTGTAAGAAATGACAATTAACAGTAGCTTCAAAAAGAGGCAACAGTCTAAACGAATGTCTCTTGAATCCCCATAATTCTTGGGTTTTATTAAGGGGCCACAACCCAGCGGTATTCAGGGTTCACTCCTGGGTTCACTCCTGTGCTCGGGAGATCACTCCTGGAAGGGCTGAGGGACCATATGCAGTACTGAGGATCAACCCAAGTCAGCTGCATGCAAGGCCAGTGCCTTACCTCCTGTACTATCTTTGGGGCCCCTTATCCATCTGCTCTAGCACACCTGTCTTTCTGCCTATCTATATAGCGATTCGCGCTGGAGCGATAGCACAGCGGTAGGGCGTTCGCCTTACAAGCGGCCAACATGGCCGACCCGAGTTCGATTCCTCCGCCCCTCTCGGAGAGCCCGGCAAGCTACCGAGAGTATTCGATATGCCAGACACAGTAACAACAAAGTCTCCAATGGAGACGTTACTGGGCCCGCTCGAGCAAATCGACGATCAACGGGAGGGCCTTTATATAGCGATTATTTGTTAACTATCTGTGCCCCCAACTAAGCTTATAAAGTTCACAAAGACCTTTTTAGTCACCTTTTTTTTGGGGGGGGTCACACCCAGTGATGCTCAGGGGTTACTCCTGGCTCTGCACTCAGAATTACTCCTGGCAGTGCTCGGAGGACCATATGGGATGCTGGGAATCGAACCCAGATGGACCACGTGCAAGGCAAACAAACGCCCTACCTGCTGTGCTATGGCTCCAGTCCTTTAAAAAAAAAAAAAAAAAACCTACCTTCTGGGGTGGAAGTGATGGCACAGTGGGTAGGACGTTTTCCTTTCACACAGCCAACCTGGGTTCGACCCCCAGCCTTCCATATGGTCCCCCGAGCACCACCAGGAATAATTTCTGAGTTTAGAGTCAGGAGTAAGCCCTGAGCATTGCTGGGTGTGACCCCTTCCCCCCACCCAAAAAAAAACTGTTCAGACATCTTAAACCCTCCCCTCCTCAATCTCAATCCTGGGTTCCTACCCAGCACAAGAAATTTTTTTTAAGGGGGGTGAGGGGAGCAGAGAGATATTACACCCAGTAGGGGGTTTGTTTTGCACTCAAGTGGAGCCCCCAGAACTTCATGGAACCCCCTGTGCCCAGCCAGAAGTGATCCCTAAGCAGAGCCAGAAGTAAGCCCTGAGCACTACCAGGTATATGGGGCCAAGGGATAGTACTGTGGGTGGGGCACTTGCCTTGCATGTGGATGACCTGGGTTTGATCCCCGGCATCCCATATGGTCCCCCAAGCAATGCCAGGAGTAATTGCTGAGTGCAGAGCCAGGAGAAACCCCTCAGCATCGCAGGGTATGACCCCAAACCCAAAAACCAAAAGAGTAAAAAACTTCTTTCTAGTCTCCATCCTGGCTTTCAAAATGTCTGTACAGTAGACCATTTTGCTCAAAACTTCACAAAAACAAAAGCCCTTCAAGAGATTGCTATGAGCAAATAATGCCTAGTGTTATTTTAATTTTTATGCCTGAAATTGTATCTTTGTACAATGCTTAGTATAATCAACTTACTCTACATTAAATGACCCCCTAATACAAGTTTTAACATCCAGCAAAAGAAGTAATCCTCTAAAAGCAATCCCCTAATTCCAGTATGCCAAAGGTACATTCCAGAAATTAAAGGCACTACCGATACGGTGGTTAGAGCAAAGCAGAGAAGTCTCAAAAAGGCATAAATGTGAATTCTGTTAAATTTAAGTCAGAAAACCCACTAAACAGCCTGGATGTTAGAGGAATTACCTCCTTATAGTCCCCATTTCGGTTGAGTCTGAAGCCCTCCGGGGTGTGCAGCTGGATGGTTGTGTTATTGATCACTTCTATGCAGCACTCTTGGTCAGGAAAGGGCAGTGGGCGCACCCGGCAGTACACCTAAGAACACAGAGAGGGACTTAGAGAAGAAGTTGACTCCTTTGCTGGCTTATTCTGCGGACACTGGCTTGCTACAAATACAAATATTTAATGTAGAAATAAGTAGGCACAAGATCTGAAATGTTGTCTTCTTAATGATATAGTTGAAGAAAAACTGTTATTTGCAAAAAGTCTGGTTTCCGCAAAACAGGTGGAGAAATACAATCCGGTACCAGTGCACAGATTTTAAATATTTCAGAATAGACAAAACTTGTTAGATATGTCATTTAGCTTTATTTGATTTACTTTTTTTTTCTTTTTGGGTAACACCCGGTGATGCACAGGGGTTACTCCTGGCGGTGCTCAGGGGACCATATGGGTTGCTGGGAAATGAACCTGGGTCGGCCGCGTGCAAGGCAAACGCCCTACCCGCTGTGCTATTGCTCCAGCCCCAGCTTTTTTGTTTTAAACAGTACACAACCCATTTTAAATTTTGTCCTTTTGGGTTTGAGGCAACAATGAGAAAACAATGATTTACCAGATTGTAATACTGATGTTTTTGGGGTACTATACTACCGCATCCTAAGTATTGGAAGGAAGACAGGCTGTTTCATAAAGAACGGGGGCGACCCATCATCGAAAAGTTACCATCTTTCCACTGTTCCTAGGACCCTTCCAGTTCACTCCCCACAGCTTTATTTAACCGATTCGATGGCCTAGTCTGCAGGTTTGTTTTCGTTAGATATTGTGTATTTCCTTCCTTATGTATATTCAAAAAATAAAATTACCAAGGGCTGCGCCGCTTCCCCCACCCCAGGGTGGCCATGGCAAAGGGAGGATGAAGGAGGGAACAGGGCCAGGTTGGTTGGTGTCAGTTGCAGTTTATTCCAATCTCCTCTCCATTCTCCTCTGATACTCCTTCTGCTTCTCTCTCTCTCTCTCTCTCTCTCTCTGGATCCCCCCACCCCCCCCTTACAGACTAGTTTATAAAGGAATCATGTAGGGTGGGGATACAAAGGTAGGGTTGAACATTAAAAAATCAACAAAGAGAGGGAAGGCCACTTCTCCAGGAGATTAACTCAAGGACAAAAATCTCATCTAAGGAGATTACTCCAGGTTACTAGGTGTTACTGCTCAAGGGCGGGATTCCATCCAGGCTGTGTTGCTTTCTTCTTTCCACAGCTAGTAACCCACGTAAATAGTCATAGTTAATTTACTTCTAATATTTCTAGCAATGTCATTCTGCATGAGCACAGTAAGAGATATATCAAGCTTAAAGTTTGGTTCTTCTTGAGGACATGTCACTGTATATTCCAGACCACAGTCCTCAGGCCACGTCAGTCTTCCTAACCCCAGCAAGGTCCTTATCCAGTTACCTCTTTTGGGTCATGACAGAGTTTGTGCATGATTGTGCTCTTATGGTGGTGTCAGAGACTTAAAAATGTGCTGGCACATTAAAGAAAGCACCCTACCACTAAGTTCCCATTATCTAACTTTTAAAATTACAATCTATTACAGGAGGCATGCGGTTGTCAACCCAAATTCTTTTCACTGTACTCATGAGTCAATTTCACCTATATAGTAACAAAACTTCAAAGCTTAAGTCTTACATACTTAACTCAATGTTTGTAGACCCCACTTTCATATCTAGGTCCCTTCTATGAACTCACATAAGATAGAAAATGACTGAGGACAGATACACACATCAATTTACTGGAGATCTTACCCCGACTGGGTCTTTCAGGCTTGTCTGGGATCCTTTTTTCACTATCAATTTCCTGGGTGTCTTAGTTCTCCTAGTCACAGATTAAAAAACAAAAACGTTAGTTTCCCATTAAGATATAAAAGCCTATAATTCAGAAACAACCTTCCTAGGGTTTATAAAATGATTCCTTACCAGATTCAAAAGACCACAGCACAAATAACATGAATGACAGTCATATTACAATAGTGTTGGGGGCACATGGAATCCAAAAGTTTTCATAATTAGGCTTAGCATGCATTTGGAGGTAGCAAATGTTACTCTTTGAATAGTTTTCTATTTAAAATAAATTGCACATTGAGCAACAATTTATGGAGAAACTACCAACTTGAAAAGGTAATCACAGTTATTTTCAAGGGCACTTATTTCCCTCTTCCATTGCACACACAAACCTGCTCTAGTAGGTAAGACATTCTGTAGCAAGGTCCTATTGTTCATCGATTTGCTCCAGCAGGCGCCAGTAACGTCTGCATTGTGAGACTTGTTACTGTTTTTGGCATATCCAATCAAGGGGCCAAGATACTCTCGGTAGCTTGCCGGGCTCTCCCAAGAAGGACAGAGAAATTGAACGCGGGTCAGTTGTGTGCAAGGCAAATGCCCTACCCCCTATGATATCACTCCAGCCCGGATACATTAGCACTGCACTGAAGCACTGTCCTCCTGTTGTTCATCGACTTGCTCGAGCGGGCCCAGTAACGTCTCCATTGTGAGACTTGTTGTTACTGTGTTTGGCATATCAAATATGTCACGGTTTTGCCATGCGGGCGAGATACTCTCAGTAGCTTGCTGGGCTCTCTGAGAAGGGCAGAGGAATCGAACCTGGGTCGGCCGGGTGCAAGGCAAACGCCCTATTGCTGTCTATAAATTCAAGAACTGGTTATATTATATTCTGAAATTATTATTTGTCCCCTAAACACCAATTTATTTATTTTTGGTTTGGGGGCCACACCCAGCTGTGTTTAGGGCTATCCTCCTGCTTCTGTTAAGCCCGGGACTATGGGTTTCCAAGTGGCGAGAGAGACAGAAACATCAACTCAATGCAAAAGTAGTGGGACTTTTGTTCCAGTAAGCTGGGGTCAACTATCTCACCCACAGAGTGGTCTCTTGATAGAGAACCCAACTTCAGGCAGGAAGCAGTTTATATAGGGTTTGATTACATAAGCAGTACGTCTTATTGTTTCAGGAAAAAACCTTACCTACTTACCAAACAAAGGTGTTTGGGCAAGTGTCTAGTAACTAACAGGGGTCAGGCAATAGTTAAATAGTTTCCAGTAACAGTTCAGGGTTACATAAGCTACTCATTCTTTTAGGGTTAACAAAAGACAATTTCTGGGGCATTTTGACTGGGGGAATTGTGATTGAGCCCGCTTGCTGGGTCCAGGAACTTTTCCAGGTGGGTTCAGTTTAGCTAATTAATTACACATTGTTTTATTGCTGGGAAACTGAAACTGTTGTAGTTCCCTTAACTGAACCTGAGGCCTAGCTGATTTTGCTGATTTCTGCCACCTGTCATGGCATCAGTTCAGCGCGTAGCACTTACACTTCTAAGATTAGGGATAAATCTGGGCGGGGCTCAGGGCACCTTATGGGGTGACAACCCCTGCCAACCATTGGAGCACAGCAAAGGCCATCCCCTGTACTGTCTCTCCAGCCCCCAGAAATCAAACTATTGCACTGTAAAACAGAGACAATAGGCAAAGTGTGCTGTTGGCTTCCTGGACCTAGTTAGACAAGGGGCATTGCAGGTATGGGACACCAGCGGAGTGTCAAAAAAATATCTATTTTCACTGTATTCCTGCAACTCTATTATGTAAATCAGTACCTTAAAGATTTTTTTTTTCAGTAAGAGATAAGCATTTATTTCTTGAAGTTCTAAATTCTATTTCTTTTACGTTACATAATCCCGCTATGGAATATGGGAGACTTAACTTCTGCCATTGCCAAGCAGAAATTTTCATCATTAGTGTCCGCACACCAGTCACGTCCTGATAGTCAAGAATGACAGCATAATTGCATGTCATTTCTATCAGAACTTAAGACTTAACATGCAGGTATATTAATCTCACATGCCAATGACTCAAGCACCTTTGACTATACAACCCAAAAAGTTGCTGGATGTTTCTTTCACTGGAACTACGAGAAACCAAACTTAACAAGTAGAACTCAGATCAAGACTGACATCCACAAAGGTGGATCTAAGGAAGCATGTTGAGTACCTTAAGATTCTTTTTCAAACAAACTTATTTTTCTTGTAAAATACAGCATCATAACGTTATCGCCACTTCGCAAACAACCCATTTTACCTCTAGACTCTGAGCACAAGACGACCAAGCTGTGAAAAACGATCATACATACTCTCCCAACATTTCCCCAGAGGAAACCAGCAAATTGTCCCCTGCCGCCGCAAATTCACTTCTCCGGTGCAAAACACAAAAAGGCAGGTTTTCACTCTCCTCTTTAACCATGCATTTTCAAAAACAAATAAAAGATGCAGAAGACTGCGCCGCTTCCCCGGCGCTTGCACAAGCAACTCGCCCCCTTGAGCTGCCTGGTGCAGATGATAAGCATCAGGGTGGCCAAACCCTTTTCCTCCCCGGCGCGTCCACAGCCGGGCGGCTGCGGTCACTGGCCCGCGCAGCGGAAAAGAATCAGTGACCCCGCGCGGAATGTGGGCGTGGGCGCTGGGGCCGGGGGGAGCCCGGGCCAAAATTAGAGCAAAAGCCACGGCCGCCCCCAAACCTGGAGTGGGGCGCTCCTCCAGGGGAACCGAGTCTCGCACCCAGAACTGGGGGCGCCCACCGCCTGGCGCGGGCCGGGGAACTCGGGACTCAGCCCCCTGGCGACCCCCGAACCGTGGCAGCCCGGGAAATGCAACTGGGGGGGAGGGACCCCCCGGGATGGGGAGCGGGGCACGGCTAACGGGAACCCGGACCCCGGGGCGCACGGCGCACCCCCACCCCACCCCGCACCCCACACCCCCACGCCACACCCCCAGTCCACCCCGCACCGCGCACCCCCACATCACACCCCGCACTGTGCACCCCGCACCCCCACCCTCACTCCTCAACCCGCATCCTCACGCTGCACCCCCACCCCGCACCCCACACCCTGCACCCCCAGCCCGCACCCTCACTCCTCAACCCGCAT